CTGAATATTTAGAAAAATACAAGCATCTTTTTCCAGCAACCACTCACTCACAAGGGGTTGTGGTAGCTGTGTGTACTAGCATGTTTGTGTTCACATTTGTTTGCAGAAGTACACCCACACCTGTCAGTGCCTTTGTGTGTACATATGGATTATTCATAGCCTGCAAAGTGCCAAAACAGTTGATGGGAGACAAGTCTTTGAGGTGTGTGATGGTGTGAAATGACGGGCGCAGTGTCAGTGGTTTCCCCTGTCTGCGTGTGTTTGTCACTGTCGAACTGACGGCTGTGTGAGGTTGAGCTCGACGTGCTTTCCCAGGAGGCGTTAAGGGAGATGGATTGTATTTCTCACACCTTCTGTCAACACTGCCAATGATTATTATGAATCCAAATAACAGAAGGGACTTTGACCTTTCCAGAAACATAAGGTGTGAGACTCGATGACACATATTCACACCTAAGAATTCATCAATCTGTTGTTCCGTGATGAATTTAAAGCTTGTAAATGTCAGTAAAGTCATTGATATAACTCCAGAAGAGTAAACCTAGGCCCCTGACCTCAATTTCTCTTGTTTGCTGTTGTTCTCTTGGGTCGCCTGCCCTAATTCTTCTTCATTGGTATTTCCTTCCTCATTCTCTTGAACTTTTTTTGCTTCTGGAAACTAAGTAGTGTGCCTGGCTCTCCTTTGTAAATTAATAAATTAAACTTTCTGTTCCCCCTTTTTTCTCCTAAGACACAACCTCTGTGGCTGAGACTCGGCTCAACAATCCCAGCCTTGGAGACGGGGCGAGTGTCGGTGGCCTGACGGGCCTGAGCCTCAGTGTCAGTGGAACCCACATGGAGCGCTGCGGCATGAGTTCCACTCAGCGGGACAACATGAGTGACAATGCCAGCACCACAGCCCTCGCTGGGACCAGCATCACTGGCAGCCTCTCTGGCAGCTGCTACAACAGGTAATGAATGATCTCTACGTTATTATTAATTAAGATTTTGGCCAAAGAATGGTACTGACTGAAGCATAAATTAGCAAAAGAGTGCTCGTTTTATGCAGGCGTGTTAATGAATTTACACACTTTATATTTACATTTTTATTTAGACGCATTTCATGGTATTATCGTGGAAAATCTTTTTCTTACTATCTGCCATTGTGTTCTTCTAGATAAAATAAACATGCATTCGCCCCATCAAGGCTTGAATTATTGTATGTTTTGTGTCAATTGTCATTTCCAGGATGGAAGTTCAGGCCGATGTCCAGAAGGAGCGCTGCAGTCTGAGTGGAGAGTCAGCCACCGTCAGTCTTGGGACAATCAGCGACAATGCAAGCACAAAGGCAATGGCAGGATCCATCCTCAATGCCTATATGTCTCTGGAAAGGTCAGTAGTCAGAGCATACTTGTAGCAGCAGACCTATTTTTGAAGGGAAATAAAAATCCCAGTTCTGGTTTTTCTAGTACCTTTTTATACCAGACGTCCTGTGGTCAGATTGTTTAAAGGAGGTCATTGTGTGTTTTTATCATCATACACTATACTGCATGCTTTCTGTGTTAGTAAAAAGTCATGCTGGTGGCACATAAAAAAAATGTGGGGTGATTCAAAGTTGCTTTTTTCATTTGGTTACTTGAGCTGTTTATAGAATTGTTTGTTCTGTAGTCAAAAGTAAGACTACAGTTGTTCGTAATATATATGCAGGTGAATATGCATGTAAGATGTGAAAGATAACCAAAATGGTTTCCTCTTTTACTGTTGGTTAATGTTGAGTGATTTTATTTTGCAGAGACAATAGTCTGGAAGTTCAGGCAGACGTGGAATCCAAACAGGAGAAGGTGAGACACTGCAGCGCCAGCAGCAGCCTGGATGAAGCCAGCTGTAGCAGTAGCACTGCCGGCCTTAAAGGTGCTAGTGGTGGTACTTGCTTATGCCCCTCCACCTGCTGCTGTGCGCAGCTCGACAACCACTGCTGCCCCTCGTCCCCCTGGTCCAAGGAAGCATCCACTTCAGGGGGCAAGAAGAGCAAAGGAAAGCTTTGGAAAAGAGCCAGCAGCAGCAGCAGCAGCAAAGGAGACACAAAAATTAATGAGAGACAGGGAGAAATGGATGCTCAGCTCCTGGAGCAGCGCAGCACTAACTCCTCCGAGTTTGATTCACCGTCTCTGAGCGGCAGCCTGCCCTCAGTGGCCGACTCGCACTGTAGCCACTTCTCATCAGAGCTCAGCTGCTCAGACCCTGAAACCTCAAGACCGGCTCATCCAGCCTGCTCCGCCTCAACGGAGCCCCACCCTCATCATCCCGCGACCACCTTCAATGACGTCACCATCGCACCCATGCCCGAGGTGGAGCACGACCGCCTGGAGCATTACCCACCTCAGAGTAGCCACGCAGCCTTCACCCACCGCCTGCTGTCGTCCTCTCCACCTGCCTCACCAAAAGAGGGAAGTAGTGGGACGTTCCTGTACATCAGCGAGGAGAGCAGAGGCGACGTCGCAGACACCGAGCCAGAGAAAGACGAGAATATTAAAGAAACCACCCAAAACACTGCCGCACAGCCTGTAAGCCCAACAAGGAAGCAATGTATACAGACAGATATTTAAAGGAGCTCTCCTGTTCTTTAGGTGCTAACTAAGTTAGCCTTATCACTTACTTACACTTATGAGTGCCCCGCCCCCCCCCCTGCCCTTACATCTTGGGAACATGGTGGTGAAATTTGAGGCTATAAGTTTAAGTCTAATTATATTTTAATCTGATGTGGAGGAAGGGATATTATGTGAATGTCAGTGTATAGAGTTACAGAGAGGTCGAGGTCCAAGTTGGAAAGGGAATAATGTAAACGGGAGCACAGTAAAGTCAGAGTGGATCGGTTGGTTCTGTTCTTCAGTGATGGAACAAGCAAGATGTGTGAACCAGAAGTTTCAGCCAGGTCAGTAGGAAGAGTTGAATGTATTTGGACATGTGTAAAATATGTAATGAAGGTGGTGAGATACTGTAGAAGGCCCATCCAGCCGTTATGATCTGCAAAGTCTGACCCCTGAATGATTTACTGAATCCAAGCTGAAGGCACAGCAGTGGTGGATAGGAAGAAGTAAAATGTGTGATATTCTTTGCAATAGTAAGGTGAGCTGCTATTTTAAAGCCTAAACCTGATCTCCCTTGTGACATCTGCAAAAATCTGGTTTTCTTTGGGGGGGGTGCATGAATCAGGGATGGATATGTCATCACTGTGGTCCACCGCTGTGCCACCAGATCATTCTGTGACTTCTTAAAATGGCATGAAACACCACAGCTAAAGGATTGTTGAACCTAAGAGGGACCAGTCCATACAGTAGCAGATTTTATTTTTCCATAATCGACCTATAAGACAAATTATTATTGTTACTTTCTGTTGTTGTTAAAATGTTTTTTGTGCTTTGTCTTTGCCTATTTTTATTTTCCATTTTGGGAAAGTTGGTTTTAATGTTGAAGCCCTGTGTTGGGTCCAAACTTTTTACCATGATGGGGTGGGAATTGTGTCGACAACAAACTGTAGCCTTTCTTTCTTTTTAAAACATTGGGGTTTAAGACAGTTGCCATCTTATATTTTTCCATCTTAACAAGCCCTTGTCTGCATTGGTAAAAAATATAGTTTTGTAATAATAGAATTATGAGAGGCACAGTCCTGAGGCAGCGTAACTGAGAAAAGCAAAAAAAAAGGCCCAATTTTTAAATTCAAAACTGTGGTCTTTGCTTGTTGTAGTAATCTGACACTAAGTCAACCAAACAATTTATTTGCAATAAGAAGCTCGGATATACTCAAAGGTGCAATTATGAACTCCTTTCAGTGATTTAATATTAAGCTGTGACCGTATGATGATAAAGGCCTACATTCTCCCTCAGTAATCTCCAAATCAAAATATAATTTTTTGATTCAGAGTTTTGGGTGTATTTTAAATACAATGTAAAAAAAATTAAGTTGTTTTCTCAGATCCTTGCAAATGTTTAATGCAAATAATTTTATATTTGGTGGACCCACAGTGCCTTTGGGGGGAAATCCTTTGTATAGTGTTTTTATTTTTATTTTCATTTCCCTTATTCTGTATGTCTTCAAATGATAAGCATAAAAATCATGAGAGAATGAATTATATTTGCCTCATAAAATGCTTGAAATGCATGAAGCCTGATGCTAAACCCCCCCGAGTTCTAATGCTAGCTGTCACAATAGCTTGTTTAGCCTACCAAAGACTGCTCTCAAGCCACTGCAGTTTAAACTTCACTTGACAGAGCCGTTAATGTCGATGGTACCTTGATTATTTTCTTGTAGAAACTCTACTTTAATACACGAGGAGTGTTCAGTCCATGAGGTTGAAAAATCACAATACGATACTTTAAATCTCAAGACCAAAATGTTTGTTTGGGTCATTTTTAAGGAATAATATATTGAAATTGTGTCCCTAAAGTAGCCAAAGTCAGTTCACCAGTGTAGTCGGTCAGCTCCGGTTGGCAATAAAACCCCTTCTTTTTAATCCAAAGCGATCAGCATTTTGTGCGTCAGATGTTCAGCAGCTGTTGTGAATTTTCAGCCTGACCACAGACTGTGCTGGGATATCAACCGGCCGAGCTCGGCATGAGCCGTCCGGGAGTAAAGAGTAGGTCATCAGAGAAGCTGTGGTGTCGACTAAAAGCGTTTCGGTGCACCTCAAAAGCCTCCAGCTGCAGGATATTCCCACCCTGTTTATGTTCATTCTGTTAGAAAAACGCCTGTTAAATTCCTGTGAGTTTTATATTATTATTTGAAGACTAGTGCCAGGTCTGTTTTTTCTAACTTGGTCAAAAGAAACGTATGCTATTTGAAAAGGTGTGTATTCCCTAATTATTTGCTTTATAATGTGCATGTAAATGCATATTCTTAAACAATAAAACTCTCAATGAAGCTTCTTGTCTGAATATTTTGACATGAAAATAATGTTTTTCTGTACCCTTTACGCTGCCGTGTACAATTGTCGAGTTGCCATCTGAGCAAAGACAAAGGCTCATTAAAGCATCCACATAGCTGTTTATTATTTACATTTGCATTCAAACTATTTACATACAGTACATGCTCTTTACATTCCACGAAGCAACACTTCAAGCCTCATGTCAAGTGTTTTCATTTAGTTTTATGCTTTTATTTAGACAGTACAAGCGAAAAAAAAGAATAGGTAATAGGTAAAATAAGATTGGACAATGTGTATTAATACATTAATACCTCAAGGTGTACCTCAAAGTGAAGGAAAGGTTGTGGCACATTGTGCTATACGGAGATTTACATTTGTGTGTGCTATGGGGGATTCTAAAAGATTTTTAAAAGGCCCTTCACACCTATATTAGTGATTTGGTAAATTAGACCTTTGCTCCTTTGGAGTGAGGTCTACTAACTAAGAGTGACAAAGGTCTAATTTGTCCCTCTTAAATAATAGGTGTGAAATTCAAACAGGTCGCTGTTGATCAGGGGCTCTAAAATGTGGGATCAAAAGTCTGAATATACACTTCAAAACCTTAAGGAGTTCTTGACTTCTATTATTCCACCAGTCAGATACTTCAAGGATCAGGGCTGTTTTCTTCTTGGGTTCCCAACAGGCTGCATCCCAAATAATTTGTGTTATATTAATTGACTATCAGTTGATGGAGTAGTCAAGACCCCGAGCTGTATTAGTTCATCAGGCTGGACTGAAGATCTGTTCTGACTGTATGTTTAATAGAGAGTATAGCCTATTTAGGTGTGGATGAGGGGATTCTGTAAACAGAGCAAATTAAAAAAAAGAGTGAAAACAGACATCCTTGCCTAGTTCCCTGTTGTAGTTGGACAGGTTCCCAGTTATGGAGAAAAAAAAAAAGTCACCAAGGATGCATTAATAAAACTGATATGAGACTTTCTAAAACGTAAATACGGTACACCTACTCACACATACACACACATTCATCTTGGTTACATTCAAGATAGAACCTGAGACCTACGATAAGTCTTACAGTACATGATAAAGTAACCTGTAACACTAACTTCAACAACTAATGAAGTGACAATTTATAATTAAGAATGACCTAAACACTGAGCTCAGGATATTTGGGGGATATTTAACTGGTAAATCATTATTATAACATTTTACAAATTAAAGTTAAATCATAACACCTCACCTTAGAGGGTCTTTAGATTTAGAATTTCTTTATAATAATTGTTGTCTTTTGTTTGATAAGTAGCAGCTGTAGTGATAATACATGTAAACAATGACAAATAGCTGGAACAGATGAAACTCTGGATACATAAAGATAGTACCAGACTTTGGACCTTTTTTTTTTAAATCCCTTATCTCTACATACAATACAGTTGAGTTGAATCAGTGTCTTTTGTCATGAGCTCAGTGAACCGTATTGGAACCACACACAACCTCTTTAAAACAAAGTGAAACGTTTAAATCTTGGCGTAATTCATCCTAACTGTGGTAGAAATCTCATTAAGGCACACATAATACACTCCTACCCCCCCCCGCGTTACTCCGCCATATAACAGCGCTCTGCAGCCTGTTACACAGATCTGTATATACAGTGCATTACATCATAATGTGAATTATTTATAGTGCAAGCAGGTCACAAGTACCTTGACATTAGCCTTTTTTAAATAAAGCTGCCCATTATGTAAGGTTGTGTACTCAGGAGTTGCGGATGGTGCAGAGCTGAAAGAGAGCTGGTCATCCGAGGAGCCCGTCCCAGGAGTTAACGCCAGTCATTTCCTTTTTTTTTTTTTTAACAAGTCTTACTTACTACAGTTGATGGCTTTAAAAGTCCTTTTCCCCCATAACTGCTACAGTACAGTATATAGTCCACACCTTCATTCCACTGCCTCCATATTGCTCCACAAACAAACATCAAACCTGGGGGGGGGGGGAATTAGCAAAAGTCAGCTTATTAGTAAATGCTACTTATATATACTTTTTGTATCTTGTGGTTTAAAAAATTGGACATGTTCAATGATACTTCTGCTAACTAAAAAATTTATTTTTTTCCTAATACAAAGTTTTTGGGTTCAGAAAACAAAAGTTGTCTTTTATTGAAACTATAATGTTATCGCCTGGACATGAAATGCAAATAAAGATTAGCCATTATAACCTAAAAGGAAGCCATTCAAATAGGAAAGATGGTTTCTGTGAATAACTTTATAAACTAAAATAACATACAATTGAAGTGTTGTGTGCACGTAAACAATCTTTTACCCTCGGTGTGTGTGCACTGCTGTCCATCAGACTCTGTCTCAGCAAACCTGTCACCACCTCAAGCTCCTGCTCGGCCTCCCGAACATTCGGGTCCAGCTGGAGGACTTCCTGGAGGTCACTGCTGGCTGACAGGTAGTCCTAACACAAATATACACACAAACAATGTTTGTCAGTCAAATAGATACAAACCTTTCTTATCCAATAGAACCAATGTGAGTGCTTACGCCACCTGTAAGCCCTTGTAAGCCAGGGCTCGTCTGTAGAAGGCTTTCTTGTTGCTCGGCTCCAGCTGCAGCGCGGAGTCACAGTCCTGTTTGGCCTCTTCAAAGTGATTCAGTTTCAGGAAGCAAATGGCTCTGGAGAAGAGGAGAAGTGTAGAAAAGAGGACATGGAGACAAAGAAAGTTATGGACTGGAGTGACTGGCTTGGTATTAAAAGAATATCAGGCCATCTCATCTGTATTTGTTGAATTTTTGTTTATGGTTCCCAGTTATTTATGCTCCAATCTGCAAGCAGATCAGTTTTTCTGCAGAAATAAATAAGCAATAAGCGAACTCTGTTACATCTAATGGGAACATTTATGTTCAATTTTGTACAAATGAAATAAATAAAATAGATACACCCATGCTTGCAAGATCTACTCCCTGCAGGTAAATCTGAAACTACATCCAGATCACAGTAATTATGTCATAAAATTAAAGTTAAACGGATTTCAGTCAATGATAAGATCTGTCAGTCTCATAGCCAATATTATATTTGATAGTGCCGACACTGATAACAGCTTTAATAGACTGGAGTTGACGCGAGGATGATGTGTTCATGTGGTGCCCTCTGCTGTTTCTCCTATTATCCTGTCATTTTATCAGCCAATTTTAGAATCAGCATTATGTTACACCCTGAGGTCTGGGACAGTCCCTTTGTCTGTAACATATACGTGTTTTTATAACCACATAAAGGAGATCTAAACATATCATGTCACTTAAATATCAAATCTTGAGCTGCTGCTGGATTTCAAATATAGAGAGAGGGCTGCTCTTGTTTGGTGATTTGAGAAGAGCTTGGTAGCATCTTACTTCTAAAAGACAGCAGAGGTTATTACAATCCCCCACTCCATTGTACCTATAGTAGAGTGTCTATCTGTGCCTCTAAAGCACACAGTGTTTTATTGCAGAGTTTAATTCGGGAGTGATTGAATATAGGAAATCCTCGCCGTTGCAAAGATCAAAGAAGCGTGCTAGGAAGGGTTGTTTGTTTCGTGCATACCTGTTTGTGTAGAGAGCACATTCGTCAGACTTTAGGCTGAGACATTCATTGTACTTCTGCAGAGCCTCCTGGAAGTGGCCTTTCTTGACCAGATCATTTCCTTCCCGTTTCAGTAAAGTAAAGCAGGCCTCTTTTTTTCTGACTGTTGGCAGAAATATGTGATTTAAGTACAAATTCAATACTGAAAAGAAGCAACAATTATACATATAAACTGTTTCAAATTATTTCCTGACTGGTCAAAACAACCAGACTTCCTGAACTTCCGAAACTTTCTGGATGATTATGATTAAATTCTACATGTCAGGACAGACTGTGTTGGATATTGTTTGTCTTTAGAGGAGGTTTTCCCATCACTTTCAGCACACAAACTTTTTCAAGAGTGATCAATATATCCATCAGCGTGTCAGCAGCAGTCTGAATGGACACAGGGGATGACTCAACCCCTGCTTACTGGGCTCTCTGCTGTGCTGAGAAAGCCACTATACCTAATGACTTGGGGAAATGGATGGACACACACACGGATGAGAAAACTGACTTAGCAAGGCTTGAAATTCAAACTTGCCATGCACATGTAGCATAAGTTATTTTTCTTCTGGATGAGAGGTCAATAGATACCACTTTGACAGTACATAAACTTGTCTTCAGTTACACTTTTTATCCCTAAATCTGCTCTGTAGCAGAGAAACTAAATTGATAAGCAATGAAAGCCCCAGTAATCTATATGAGTTACATCTGAGGCGGATAAAAACATGGCTTAATGTAACACTAAAAGTAAGGAAATTTAATACATAAAAACTCAAAGAAAAACCCTGGTTGTTAAAGGAATAAACATAGTCATTCAATATAACGTAAGTATGGAGAATACACAGTATATATTTATTTTTATTTATCAGAAATCTGAATTTTGAATTTTGACAGAGGTGATCAGAAGTGGTGGTACCCCCCTGTGTTGGTGATGTCATTTTGATAACAGAACGAGTATTTTGAGTACATAAATAATCTATTACGATCGTTTTGTCTGTTTATGGGCAATAAAAGCATACGTATCAAACATGTGCAGGCAGACTAAGCTCTTTTTAAGCGACAGGAGTTTTTTACAAGCATCAAGAGAGTAAGAGACTTTTTAATATCAACATGAGCAACAGCTCAATCCAAGTGCAGCACTACATTAACGGTGGCTATTTAAAGCAGAGCACTCTCAAACTAGCTTTACACAGCAAACAAACACCAGTCTTCAGGTGTCACTGAAGGGGATCACTAAACAAAGAGCTCAAGATTGTAATATCAAGTTTAACTGTTGTGCTAGTGAATGCACACGTTGAGTCAGATCAGCATGTGAATTTTCCTTCATTTCAATTTCAAACAAAACCACCAAACCACAAAGAGAAACAAATGAATGTATCCAGCTTATAAAGAAATCATTATCTTCTGAACAAAAGCAAAGTGAATGGGAGTTGCTGTTCTATATAAATGGAGGCTTCTTTCTCTGGTTGTATCTGGTTGTTTTAAATGATCATAATGAGACAATTGTGTTATAGGTTTTAAAAGAGGGAATTTATTAGGATAAGTATCTAATGGTTTGTTAAGGAGAGCAGATAAAATGGCATACCAGTTGTCTAATCTTATATACGTATATGTCATTATTCGGAGTTAAACACATTCCAGGAGTCATTTAGTGAGTATACTTAAGGTTGTTCCCACTTTTCAATATCCCGTTGTGAGCAGATGTACTACAGGTTAACCTGAATGTAACCATAAGAGTCTTACTCACAACACGTAACATGTATTGCACTGACTAATAATCCTGTTTTAAGACATTTATTTTTTCAGTTGAAATAAAATGATATATATCTGACTATCAAGCTATTGATTTAGAGTCTGTTGCCAGCACTGCAGAAGCTGGTATGTTATGTATTTTACCCTTTAAAAGCATACAATGTTGAATATTTGCTGTGACCACACAGGATTTTACCCATACAAATGAGGTGTTAAACACTGAAGTTGAACCACTTCCCATCTGTTTCCCCAGCAACAGCAGTGTGCTATTCTGAGATTATCTCTGTTCTGTCTATGTGCTAAAGTCATTAAGTGTTTATGTATGTGCGTGTGCGTGTGCGTGTGTGTGTGTGTGTGTGTGTGTGTGTGTAGGTCGTGTGCTTTATCTTTGTTAGATTTAAATCCTGTGTATGGACATTTTATGTCGTGCATACAAATAAAGCACTTTATTTGTAAGTGTATGTGTGGTTTTATGGTGTATTTTCTACACCACATGTATTTAAATATATTTGAATAGGGTAAATATATGATACATGTGGAGCCTTCTGGTCTGTGTGAGCAGGAGCAGCCTACTGGAAACCTGACCTGGATTGTTCCATTACAGCAGCACTACACTGTGTGGATCGCCTTCCCCTCTGCATTATTGATGATCCACCCAGATACACACACACACACACACACACACACACACACACACACACACACACACACACACACACACACACACACACACACACACACACACACACACACACACACACACACACACACACACACACACACACACGCTCTTTCAGCAGCCTTCACCATTTTACACACTTATCCTCACTGACCGACTTCTGCTGCTCTACAATTGCATGAGTCAAGGATTTCATTTAAATTTTTACCACAATTCATCAGGAAATATTTGACAAGATAAACAATTTTGTCCAGATAGGAAGAAAAAAAACATTAAGGCGCCAGATTCCTTTTATGACAGAAGTAAATGTGTGTTTGTAAAAGGTTTAGGGGGAAAAGTAGGACGTTATAGTACAAAATCAACATAACACCCTCACTAAGCTAAGAGGAAGTGATGTCACTGACCTTCCTCCTGTGCAGCCCTGGCGGCTCGAGCTTGAGCCACTTCGACGCTGATCGGTTTCTCTCTGTGATGCTGCTGCACAGACAGAGGGACGGCGGGAATATCCGGAAGATTCTCTCTCCACCCAGGTCCGTCCTGTTCAATAAGCATCTTGGTGATCCTGGCAGGAGGCACAGAGAATACAACTTACGGTATCACTATGAAGGTGTAATTAGCTATATTAATGCTGCAGGGATCGTGGGCTCCACTGTGACGAAGAGGAGATTAAAACCTTAGAGGAACTAATGGTTGAACAGCTTAATGGCAAGTGAAAAAATATACATTGTGACAGTAAACCAGCATGCACAATACCAGGACCCTGAAACTGAAGCAGCTAAATTAAATTCAGCCATCATTAATAATATTATTTGCACCTATGATTTTCCTACTGTGTCCTCTGTGAAAAAGGTCTATCAAGCATCTCTTGTACTCACCCACATAGTTCAGACTAGAGGTCAGAGTAAGTGAAAACACCTGTGTGGGTGGACCATGGGTGCGTGGGGCCTTTAAAATATGAATACAGCTCTTTCTCAAATCCATACTACACACTTACTCTCAGCATGTTTTTAGTCTGTAGTGTATTCAGACAAGAATAAGTCTCTGTTTATTTCTTGTATACTAACTGCAAAACAGTATACTATAAAGATGACACTGTTTAGTATGTAGTATGGAATTGGGGGCATGGAAACTATCCATGATGCTGAATGTGTTGCCTTAACCTGGGGCAGGTACGCTTGGCCTTCACATCCAGGGGCTGTGTTTTTCCTGTCCCACAACTGGTAAACATGTTTCTTTCATCCAGTCAGTCATATATACCAGTGGTTCTTTAACATAATCTCTCATTCTAACCAAAGACTCCAGCAGCTGAATCCAAGAGGAGCCAGTCAGTGAACTCAGCTTCTTCAGTATTCGGCTGAATGAAAATGTGCAAATGCTTATGGTACATGATTAACAGGCTCTTCGACCATTTTTAAATGCAAGATACCAAATATACTGCATGGCATGCTGGGGGAAAAGTGTATAAAACGATGCACCTCTACTTTACTCAATTCTAACCATGAAATCTCTAGATTTCTTGACAACTTTCAAGAAGTTACAGAAGCCACATCAAGCAGCTATAGTTTCTTATGTTTGGCTGACCTGTGGACGCTGTCGTGAGCCGCCTGCACCCCGGTGTCTATCTGCAGGACAGTCTTATAATCCACATAGGCCTTCCTGTAGCGCTCCAGTGACTCATAGGCTATAGCTCTGCGCAGCAGGGCCTTCAAGGAGTAGGGCTGCAGCTCCAAAGCCCTAAGAGGATCAGAAACACGCACAGACAGAGGATCAAGCTGTTTACACCTGCATACTGTGTCACAGGCTTAACAGGGCTGATCTGTGGCTCTCCATTCATAAACATGTGAGTATTTTACTTTAGACGGAAAGATTCCTGCAGCCTCCTGGCACCAGAAACAGTCACACAGTGTGTTCACAGTTTATAGGATCAACTAAGAGCAAAACTAAACTAAACTAAATGAAAATCATGAGGAGATGAAGATATAGGCGGAACTCTTCAGAAATAGTTTTCAAATAAGCCCTTAGATTATTTCAGTAGGCATATGAGGACAGTTTCTTTTAGTTTTCTGTCAGTGTGAACAGAACAAATACTGCCACTTTACCTCACATAAGCAGAACTGTTGAAATATTAAAAATGGAACTGAAATCTGTTTAGACAAAGAAAAATGCAATACTAGCAAACAGCATCTCAAAGGGGAACTGATTTTACACATCAAAGTCTGTTCACAAGTGCTAGAAAGTACTAGTGTAAATAAAGTCTTGCTTAGTTGCAGAGGGAGCGGTATTAAAATCTAATTTATTGCCACAAGGGATGTCACTTGAGTCAGTATCAGTTGGGGCTGAAGACTACAAGTTTAGAAACAAACAGAAAAATCAGGGGGTGTGAAGTTAGAAAGAACTGCTCTTAGCAGACCTCTGTAGCCTGCTCCTCATCTCTGATTGAGGCTAGATAGAGGCAACATCAGCCGCTACTAGCATAACACACCTTAATCTACGACCCAGCTGGCCAACATGAGCCCGACAATGTTATAAAAGTGCAATGCTAAATGTTTGGTTTACTCCTTTAAATCTTACGTGAAACTACATCGAAATGGACACGTCAACAAGCACAAAGAATGTCTGCGAATGATTACACACATGCACAGAGTCGACTCCTGACACGTACTTGGTACAGTCCTGTATGCAGTCCGTGCTGTTTCCATCCTTCAGGTAACAGGCTGCTCTGTTGGAGTAGAGAATACACAGGTCTTCTGGACTATCAATGCCTGCAGGGGAAAAACCACAACACATTTATGTGAAAGACCAGATGCTGAAAGACATCTGTGAACACCTACGCAGTTGTAAGGACAGTGGTAGTGCTTTGTATTAAGATCAGATCTTTTTGACTTTTGCTGTACTTTCTGTCTAGACCAAAGAGACATTAGGATGACAGAAAAGCTCAATTTGAAAGTTCGGACTGTCCAGAGATGCTGAGGGCGTGAATGGTAGACAGATAAATGGATGTGCTATCACTCCCTCTGGAAGAGTCATTTACTACTCTGTCCTTTCTCCTCTGAGTCTCCACTGCAGTTTCACAACCGCCCGCAGAGCATCAGTCATTATCTGTGCCCAAAACCTCAACAGTGCTGATACTCCGCTCTATATGTATCCATATTAAAACACATTGTTTTCAGTGCTTTCCTTTTAGAGTCTCTCTGTTAGGTCTGACATTAAGTCTAGTCTAATCTTTTTAAGCTTGTCTCCAGCACTGCTGAAAAGGCCATCCTTCTTGCCAGCCACGAGAGTAAAAGTTGGCTGAGTGCTCTTAAAGGTGCAGCATGACATTCAATCTCACCTAAAAGCCCTGTACACAAGCACACGACTCCTGTCTACGGTCAGCGGTGTTGTCTTGTGCCAGCACTCCACCGCATTCACATATCACCAATGATGCCTCATGTCTCAGCTGCAGTGGACGATAGACTGAAAACTTGAGATTACCAGTTCACCGCTCCACACAGGTGACGGGTCTAGAAGAGTGACCTGTACTCATCCCCTGGGACAGGATGGCGAGCACCTGCATGCTGATTTGGTGAATAGAGGAAATTTGTGCGGCATGACAAGCACGAGCATAACGCACTCAAAATTGACATGGGATACTGTGGATTGTGGAGCCAAATTACACTCAGCTTGTATCTGATACCCTTATAAGGGCCGGTACACAGATGTTAGATGAGGCTTTCTGTCGGTCTCTGTGCCATCGATCTGTTGTTGTTTCTGTATTAGTGACTTGTTGGCCATCAGACGTTGCTTTTTAAGACTCGTCTTCGAATGAAGTATTTTTACTATAACGATTGTTTTATGTCAGTATTCAGTATGATTATTACTGCAGTTCTGACTGTATAACTGCTTAGTAAAGCTGAAACTATTAGTTGATTAATCAAGTAGTCAATCAGCAAACATATTGATAATCAAACACCTACTTGTCATCTTTCTAAGCAAAATGACTCAGATGGGAATTTTTGATAGTTCTCTTCATCCTCTATGACTGTAAACTGAATATCTTTTAGGTTTTGGACTGCTAGTTGGACAAAACAAGCATTTAGAATAAGCCAATTTGTGCTTTAGGGAACTGAACTTATTACTAACATTTTATGGACCAAACTATTAAACAATCATCCTGTAACTTACTGTAACATACATTAAGCTGTCATGTGGCATGCAACTGTTGTTGCCACTGGCACTGACAACGTCAATTCAGGTTATTCAAAGGTTTGTAGTGCAGGTCAGGTTTAACTGTACAGAATTACCAAACAAGACTGAGGGTAAAATACACGTTTTATAACCTATATTTGTCCAATCAACAGAGGTGTTCTCCTCGGATGAAATACTGATTCTCTAAGTAAAAACACAAACTGCTCAGATCTTCCCCACCTGCTTCAGCACACCCATCAATGGCGTGTGTGTACTTTTCCAAGGCGTCCCCAAACTGCCCATGTTTGAAGAGGTGGTTCCCTTCATTCTTGAGCCGGGCCAGGTGAGGAGGAAGGGCCCCAGAAGGGGCGTCCAGGTAACTTGTGTCCACTGCAGGGCTGCCTTGCTGCCCTTGTCCACCCGCAGGGCTGTTTTCCCTCCCATTGGCCACCCTCTTCTCTGAAGCTTTGTGCGTCTGGGCCTTTTCCGCGCTGCCTCCAGCCCGGCCTCTCGCCCCACTCCCGGCTGTGGCCTGATCCGATCTCCCGCCCCCTCCTCCGGTGCCCGGAGGTTTGTCCTGTGCGTTCCCCATAGCTGCACTTCCCTCTGCAGTGTCTTCGAAACTCTTCCTCCCTCCTTGCCTCTCCTCTCTAGCTGCAGCTACATCTGTGCCTGGCTAGGGATTTCTGTTAGCCCCGCCCCCTGGATGAGCCGTCGCGGGTGACGTCACCGAGGGGGGGAGGAGCCACAGCGATGCAGTGCTGCAGCAGGAGAGCCTCAGAGGACTCTGGACAGACATACAGACAGAGAAACATGAATGAACTCAGACCAAACACAAGGTACTTAAATGGAGACTCAGAGAAACAATGTTTGAATTATATAAACAACAGGAAAACCACCGATTACAAACGTTGATGCTATATTGATTTATGCACTTTTATTGTTACATATCAGTGAAATTACTTATTATTCCAATTTTCTTTTAATTATAAACTGAATTTCTCAATGAAGACATGTCAAAATGTCTGCTGTGAAAAAAGGGCTGCTGTTGGGCAGAATAAAGAAATAGATTTGGACTCAGTCTTCATTGATTTTGTCATTTTAAGCACTTTATTGATTTATGTTAAATATATTCTTTGGATTAGTCAAAAAAAAAGCCCCCAATAATGAAAATAATAATTAAATTCATGAGAAAAAGGTCTATTAATGTGTTATTTCTAGTTTAGTTTAGTTTAAAAACATCAATTGGCTGCCGGAGTCTACACTGGTTGCCTGGCAACTGCTCCCAGCTAAGAAATAGTCAGGCACATAACCCCCATCGTAAAACCGTGAATTGTTTGTACAAGTTAAACAAAGGGAAAAATAAGTGTTAATTATTGATCTTTAGAGGTGCTGCTAGTAGGAGTTTGTTTTCTTTAGAGCCAGTCTAGCTGTTTCCATCTGTTTCCAACTTTATGCTAATTTAAGCTAAGTGGCTGCTGACTGAGGCCTTATATTTACCATACAAACTATTCCTTTATAGCTGTACAGCTTCACATTGCACCTCAAAGGTTGCAGAGTAACTATACTGCTGTTTCATTTGTTAAACCTACTACAAGGAGTTTTTAACCGGTTATGAAACCATGAACATGTCACATTAACTAAAAGATAAAAAGTGACTAATTTTCTCCCACAAGAGCTTATAAAAGACTCAATTAACAAAAGGAAAGTGTAAAAGAATAGAAATTTCACAAATTCATGTTCCTGTATTCATCCAGACGTTAACATTCAAAGACAGAAAGGAATAAGAAATAACTGTGAAAACAGTAACGATCAGTGAAAATCACATTTTTAATAAACCAAAACTCGCCACTCACAGGCAAAATCATGAGTTTTAAGGGTAGTTCAGTAATCTGGCTTCAAGCCTGGAGGTTTATTTACATGCTCATACAGTACAAAAATAGTACAGAACAAAATAATCAAAACTGATGCTCTCCTCTTCTTCATCTGGCATCAAAAACGACCACTGAAATAAAAGAGTCAAGGAAATGTAGAAGAATTATAGTTCAGTTCACACATATGACTTAATATAAAAAGGCTTTTGCTATTGTATAATATTTGATTGCTCATCAAAATGAGGACTAGTATTCAATATCAACTACTAGTTGTTAGGTCTTTATGTTTTCAAGAGCTTTATTTATGTTGGTAATGTTGGTAAATGTAAATATGAATATACCTCAAATGTCGTAAAATACAGATCAAGTTTCCTGCAGTTATCCATTAAAATATAAAAATGATCAGACACACACACACACACACTAAAGGATACATCTCTTTGTTCTCTTCTTGTACATGATCCTGTAACCACACTCTCTGCATCGGATTGGATCGCGAGCCTTAATTTCATTTTCAGTGTGACATTCTGCAAGTTAAGACAGAAACAACATTACAGAAATATCCTTTAAATAAACACAGTTTCCAACATACTTGGAATTGTACTTGTAATTTTTACGCTGAAGCTTTGTGTTGGTTGGTTGTTGATTAAAAAGAAAAGCTTTGTTTTTTGCAATATGTTATATTTTACTTATCTTGAAGCCAATGATTTTCAGTTGCAGTAAAGAACTGCACTATTTACATTGGCAGTTATTCACAAATGTTCAGTCTCTTAAGTAGAATCATGTAGAAACACATCTGCTGCTTTCTGGATACTATTTATATTAATGTGTGGTATTTTGTAATCCAGTGCAGTCTAGGCAGAGCTGTATACTTGACATAATAACACAAACTCCATTCATTAATTGTATAGAGCCATACCATTTGGTCAAGGTATTCATTCATGTCCACAGAAACTAAAGAATACATAATAATTCATTCAAAAGGCAACAATAACATAAAGTTAGTGTTGTATCAGTTATACTAGGATTGTATGTAATTGTACTGTAGTAAAGGTTCACAGAAATACACCAAACAGAAGTAGTTACAGCAGTACTAATCCCCAAAAGTAGTAATAGTATTTCCAGTATACAGTAATAGATAGAGAAGCATTAGAGCATAAAGTAACGTCTGGTAGCACAGTTAGCAGTAGAAAGGCTGTAGTAGCTGATTGTACTACAAACACAAACAAAAAGCTACAGTGTACCTCCACATATGTAGATCATAGGTTGCTGTTTGGGCGGTTGCACATCTTTCGGTGGATCCATATTTGTTTTCTATAAAAGACAGGAGAAGCAATGTTGACACAATCACACCTGTGTCGTTGTAGCATGCTAACACAGAAACAGCATGGTGGCACCCGACAGGATTAGCTTCAACTGTCACAACCGGCAAAATAAATTAACAACAAAGGTCGTAAAGACATCTTATGATGAAGTATGAATATATAATCATCAAACACACACGGGGAGAAGGTTAAAAAGAAGTGCTCTCACCGTTTTAACTGTTAGCTGTTTACCTCTCTTTTCACATCACACACTGCCGCCAGCGCGCATGCGTACAACCGGCGTCTTCCACCTCAAAGTAAAGCGGTCTGTGATTGGTCAGGAGATCCCCCGTCACATTTGGCATAATTATTTTAATTATTAATTAAATTTTTTTTTCTTCCAGACAACACGAATGAAGATGTGACAGATTATATTAGTGTTTATAATATTCGTGGTTTAATAATCTCCATGGTTTCGAGGTGTGTACGGTAGTTGTGTGTTGTGTAGTTGCACTCCGGTCCAACAGGGGGCGCTCTGCGTAAAGCTCACATCCTCAAAGTGTGTGCATCCTCTGGCGAACACTCAGCTGGCCCTCCACAACGACTCTATCGACAATGTTCATATCTTGACTACTGGTGTCAAAACCTGCCATAACTTACCATTAGTCCGCTGCCTTTTTATCCTCTGAAGATACACCATGGAGCCGTCTGCGCCCAAAAGGTTTGTGTCCTTTAGTCTGGGTTAAAACGTGCTAACTTACTAACTAGCTGGAGGCTAACGTAGGCGGTAGCTGCAACGTTAGCTCGGCTAGCTGATGCTAACTTGGTTAGCTTTAGAGGATTTGTGTCAAACTTTATCCACAGTTTAGTTTAGAGGAGTTAGTTAACGGTGTTAGAGGTCAGTCTCAGCCAGAATCATAGGCAATATGTTGAAGCTTATAATGGCTTACTGGTCTGTTTCGTTGTAGTTAAACTGTTAATGTTAACTTCGTTGGTGGCTTTTGTGGAGCATTTTAACCAACGTTATTCCGACACACACATAATATACACACTGAAACAATCTTATACCTCCCCGTTAAACCAGCGAATATCCTCGGCAACCCTTCATTCATTGGTGCCATGGTGATTACATGTGTACTCTGGTTGTCTTGCCAACTGAACACCACAGGAGTTGATATATCTGGGGAGCAGCTTTAAGTCTGAGAGGGGAAAAGAAAAAGAGCTGGGGCGATATATTAGCACTTTTATTTGACGTTTGAATTAAAAGATTAATTGATTTTAACCAGATTTCCAGTTATTGTCTAAATTATTACCGATAAATGAACAGTTTCAACACTATGTAACATATAAAACAATGTACTGAACTCATTTATCCACATTGCTCAAGTTTTTTAAGAGACCATATCACCAACCTTAATAAATAACTCATGAAGGCAACAATACTATAATATCCTCCAGCTCTAGACTATTTAATATAATTCCTTGCATTACTGTTTCTTTAAAGTGACCGCATACACAAACATTTAGGTTATTTCTACATCTATCACCATGTTTAGTTTACATGTGTACATTATTCCCTACTTCCTGTAAAACATAATGCTAAGTACTGGAAACCACTGTAAGTTTGATTTCAGATACTCCTATGTTATTGTGTTTAAGGTTGGTTTCACTACTTGTTTTTTTGCTGCACTTGTATACTGAAGTTGATTTGCTCCATTTATACAGCAAGCTGAAAAAGCTGAGTGAAGACAGTTTGACCAAACAACCAGAGGAAGTGTTTGATGTTCTTGAGAAACTTGGTGAAGGGTAAGAAGACTAACCTCCACTTCTCTGAACATATTTTAAGTCCATCAGATATAACAGTCTTATTCTTAATGTGCTATATACAATTATGTAACTTTTGTGTTACGTGTTTAGTTCCTATGGCAGTGTGTTTAAAGCCATCCATAAGGAGTCAGGCCAGGTGGTGGCCATCAAGCAGGTTCCTGTGGAGTCGGATCTGCAGGAGATCATCAAGGAGATTTCCATCATGCAGCAGTGTGACAGGTTAGACGAACATTCCCTAAAACTCCAAATTCACTATATATATTATATTAAAACATCCTTAATGTCCTGAGGTCACCAGGTTTGCTTCCATAATTCACCTTGCTCTAAGTTAAATGTTTGATTTAACATTTCCATCAGCTGCGACAGCCTCTACAGCCCTCGGATGTCTTGACCTACAAGAGTTTTCTCACTTCTGCTCTTTCTGCTCTAAACGGAACTTTGTCTTCTCTTTTGATAACCGCTCTGTTTGGCATTTCCTCCCAGCCCTTACGTAGTGAAGTACTATGGCAGCTACTTCAAGAACACAGACCTGTGGATTGTCATGGAGTATTGTGGAGCCGGCTCTGTCTCTGACATCATTAGACTACGCAACAAGACGGTGGGTGTTTGCAGAGAATTACAGTTGCACACAAATTATCTGAGTTAATATTTCTATCATATATGAATCAGCATGGATGTATATAATGTATATATCCTAGACTGATATACACACCAAACATACAGGGTTGCAGTTTGACACTGATATTAACAAGACATTGCTTTTTAATACCTATGATGGGGATAATGCCTCACTGGCCTGATGACTAACCTGGCTTTTATACAGCTTTTACTAATTCTGCCTACTGTCTTTTTTTTAACAGTAGTGCAAATAAAAAGCTGAAAGGATGAGCAAATTTTATACTTTGCAAGCCTCATTAAACTGGCAGAAGGAGGAAAAAGGGCCCAGTTGACCATGTCTGTGACTTAACTGGCAAAACCACTGGCTACATCAAAAAATAGGTCGTACTTGTGTTTTGGGTTGTCCCGAATACCATTTTTTTGGCTTCAAAGCTTCTCACTGGAGTGTGTCAGACACCCCCCTGCACACACACTGGTTTCCCCCATCTTTCAGCAGTATGTTTTCCAAAGTCGCCAAAAAAACACGTGTTGAAATGGCTTGTTGTTAATGATGTTGCCTATTAATCAAAACCAAGGTGGTAGAGAATACTTTAATTGGTCCATGCTAGTAAAAGTCCACGTCTAAAACACCCTGGGAAAAGAATTTAAAAACAGAGTTGGACATCAGTGGCAATGATCCAAGCATTTACGTCAGCCCTACTTGCGTTACATACCTGCATTACAGTCTAATTTCGTCATATACTTAATTATTAACTTTTTTGTTTTATTATTTGCACATACACAATAAATGTATATGTAACAATATAATTTTAAGGAAATATAACAATGTGCAGGAGAGGTTTGAAGCCAAATATACTCTTGGATCTTATTTCATCCCTGTGTTTTCTTTTTCCTTCTCACATCAGTTGACAGAGGATGAGATTGCTACTATCCTGAAGTCGACACTGAAGGGGCTTGAATACCTTCACTTCATGAGGAAGATCCATCGGGACATCAAGGCAGGAAACATCCTCCTCAACACAGAGGGACACGCTAAACTGGCCGACTTTGGAGTTGCTGGACAACTAACGGTAACTTTAACGCAGATGTTTTACGGGTCGCCCTAATGATGGCAAAGTCAAACTTCCACTTGGAATGTACAATCGTTTTCTGATTTAGTGGATTCATATGAACTGATTTGCAAACTTCATATTGATGACACTAGCATTGTTTTTTTTTCTCTGAAGGACACCATGGCAAAGAGAAACACAGTGATTGGTACTCCGTTCTGGATGGCCCCAGAGGTGATCCAGGAGATCGGCTACAACTGTGTGGCTGACATCTGGTCTCTGGGCATCACATCCATAGAGATGGCAGAGGGCAAACCTCCCTACGCTGACATCCATCCCATGAGAGTGAGTGTAAACATGGTTTGTTAAAGAAGTGGGTGCTGAGACCCCAACCCCTTAGCTCTGACCCAGGGGTTAGTGGAAAGTTTTGATTTGAGGTACCTAAAGAACCAACAGTGGACATGACATCTTGCTATTGTTTTCTTTCTCTGACTTTTTAAAACCTCTCTTCCAAGGCTATCTTCATGATCCCCACCAACCCCCCTCCAACATTCAGGAAGCCGGAGCTTTGGTCAGACGACTTCACAGACTTTGTCAAGAAGTGTCTGGTCAAGAATCCAGAGCAGAGAGCGACCGCCACACAGCTCCTACAGGTTGGAGAAAGGAGCAACACACACTCACAGATATAAACTTTTAAGAGCAACAACATAAACACCCCATGTGGACACAATCACATAGATGCACCATCTGTGTTGACACAGAGCCATTGAGGCACTAAACATTACCTCAAAACTCCTTTTTTATTTTTGTCCTTGTGAATGTTCAGCACCCATTCATCAGCCAGGCCAAGCCGGTCACAATCCTGAGAGATCTGATAACTGAGGCCATGGAGATGAAAGCCAAGAGGCAGCAGGAGCAGCAGAGAGAGCTGGAGGAGGAGGACGACAACTCTGTACGTATGCTGAGATGTGAACAATAACGTTTGTGTTTAAACCAACCACTAAATTTGACTAGACTACTATACATCGAGGCTATGTGACTAAATGTCTCGTGTCTTCCAGGAGGAGGAGACGGAGGTGGACTCTCACACTATGGTGAAGTCGGGTTCAGAGGGTGCAGGAACCATGAGGGCCACCAGTACCATGAGTGACGGGGCGCAGACCATGATTGAACACGGCAGCACGATGCTTGAGTCTGACCTTGGCACTATGGTCATCAACAGTGATGATGATGATGAGGAGGAGGAAGACCAGGGATCCATGAGAAGTGAGTTAGCGATGATGGTAACTCAGTTATGTGGAGAAAAGGGATAATACTGCAAACTGGGAACTAGTTAAGAACGCGGTTTAAGTAATGTTACGGTGAAGGTTGAGTAATAGAGTGAAAACACAACCCTCTTCCTCCTCCACAGGGCACGCCACCCCCCAGCAGCCGATACGTCCGTCCTTCATGGACTATTTTGACAAGCAAGACTCCAACAAGGCAGCCCAGCAGCAGGAGAACTACAACCACAATCAGCCGCAGGAGCAGCCCGGCTACCACATCCAGTCCAAGAACGTCTTCCCTGACAACTGGAAGGTGCCTCAGGACGGAGACTTTGACTTTGTGAGTAACATCTTCCACAAGCATGTGATGGTACTGCTGCTATTATTAGGGTTTGACCTGAATGAATATACACCAGTGCTTCAGTGGTAGAAATAGCGAAAAGGAAGCTATCCTGCAATGACACACTAAATGTGACTCATAAATTCCCTTTTGTCGTTTGTCTTGTGTTTCTGTTTGTGTGCTGTCACACAGCTGAAGAACCTGGACTTTGAGGAGCTGCAGATGCGCCTGAGTGCCTTGGATCCCATGATGGAGCGGGAGATCGAGGAGCTCAGGCAGCGCTACACCGCCAAAAGGCAGCCCATCCTGGATGCCATGGATGCCAAGAAGAGACGGCAACAGAACTTCTGAGCTCTCCTACCCGTCGCCTTCTCCCTCCGGTCTCGGTTTCCTAAAGCCACTGTCACCACAAAACTTCTGTCCCATTGACTCAGAGGAACTAAGTTGACCTTATTGTCTTTGTTCTAAGCCCACTGCTGTTCAGACTGACTGCTAACTGGCCTCTAAAGGAAGTTTGCTTCCTTTACTGGGTGGCATCCATTTTGTCTCCTGGAATCTACACTCGTCTGCCTTGTTGCTACACTATGTCTAGATGCTGTTTCTCCATTTTAAATCTTATATTTGTTTCTACGGTTCCTGTACAGTTACTTTCCTGTGAATGATGCTCCGGACTGCAGCCAAAGAGAGAACTAACGTTTGGTGATTATACATCTGAAAGTCACAAAATGCATTTCCCCTTTTCCAGATGAAATTACATTTTGTGTCACAAAAAAAAAACCCATAAGGAAACCTATCCCCTGGCAGTAGCAGCAGTATAATCACCGTGGTCAATGACAAAAGGTCTTTTTTTCCTCAGACTTTTCACTTTCAGTGTAAATATAATATAGAGCCTAGTTTGGAAATACCTGCAACAAAAAGCTGTGGAGGCTTGTCCATGACCAAAGACAATCAAGAGGATGTTGATTAAGTTGAGAATGCCTTAAAATATTTGAAACCTGGTTTTCAAAATAAGCAATGTAATAAAAAAGAAAACACCCAAGTCGTCAGATGGTTAAATCCATTTCCTCACTTGGAGATGAGTTGGAAGTGGATTGTAGAAAGCTGCAAGAATGGACAGAAATTATGGAAATCATGTGGATTGTGAACGGATCATGCATGTTTTCAATCGTTGGTGGATCATCTAAACTTATTTCATTAGTCTTCATTTTATTTTGTTGATCTCAAGTATTATGTTCTGAGCTCCATGCATCCTATTGCCTCATAACACACCTGTTGCTTTCTGAGCACACACTTACCCAGAGCTCCTCATGAATTTAAAGTCTGAGCTTTTACTTGGCAAAATTTTCCACCATACTCAAACCAGAGTTAGTTCATTCCTAAGTTTAAAAACAATTCCATACAAGAAGAAGCATTCCTAAATCATCATTTATATGTATGTTCTTGGAGTCTTTAAAACCCCTGTAGATTTATTTCAACCGTCTAATTATTATGTTTTCTGTAATTGTTCAACATTACGATTGATAACCTCTGATTCCAGTATGAAACATCAAAGCAGTGGACAACACGATAACAGTTCTGTGCTCAGTGAAGGTGAATACGTGAGAGAACAAACTACAACATATAAACTGTTTAATGGTTTTAGTCCAAGAAAAAACATCTAGTTGAGATAAAACACTCAAGTGACTGACTGACTGATACGATATACTACTAATAAGAGCTACACATCTAACATCTGATGTCTGAATTTCAGAATAAATATTTGAAAATGCATTAAGATTTCTTTCAACATATTTCCATGCTGCTTATATCTGTTTCAGCAATTATGTGTGAAAACATGTTTTTCTTATTTTACAGTTTTCTGATGTGTATGTGTGACATAAATGAAGGAATGAATATGTACTGTCATTCCACGCTGTGTGTTTGTTGGGACGCAAAGTTTTAACCGCTAAAAACTGTTATTTACACAAAGCTGTTCAAACAATGGTTGTTCATAAATATTGGCTTCATAAGTTCTCAGCTCTGAAATATTAATAACTGTACTGTCCTCAAAAAAATCCGCTGTATTTGGCTTTATTCCACCATTTTGAATGTTAATTTGAAAACAAAAAACATATTTGATCTCTTCATGAAGGAAACAAACTACTCTGTTGTGGATGTAGTTTATTTGTTCTGTCGACATATTGATTTTACACATCGTGCTCATAATGACCCTTTGAATGAACTATCTCTTTAAATACATGTTAATTATGTCTGCCGGATGCTGTTACATATGAATGTTAATATGCAGTCTTCATGGTGTGGTTCAGCCCACACTTGCTGCATATTAATCATTTTAATGATACCATAATCTTATAAATAGGCCTGTTACACTGTCTTATATCTCATCTGTTGGACAATGAGGCCAAAATGAACTGATGTTTCAAACACCTGACCAAATGTCAATCAGTACTATCACAGCTTTTGAATGATCACATCTGTTTCTGTTTATTTGTATTTGTTTTTCTCCCTCCTGCATGCGGGTGAACCTGAAATCATTATCATTCTTGCCATGAATTATTTCCATAAATTAAGTCTGCAGTGCATTAGCAACTTCCATACAAGCATTCACACTTTTATTTATTTAATGTGTTTAAATCTTTTTTTTGTGACACTGGTTTAAATATGGTGGCTGACTTGGCTGTTAATATTTTTGCCCTTTGTCAAATATATATGTGGCTTGATTTCTGCGTGTTTTAGACTATGCATGTTTATAATTATGTTTGCTGTTTAGTGGAATGCTATTGTATTAACTGCACAGGTAAGAGTACTGTTAATATGGAAGCTGGACTCGCAGCTTTAACAACAAAGTTTTGCTCTGTACAATAAAAAGCCCTGTTTGAAATATGACATTGCGGAGAATCTGCCGTAATATATATATTATATATTATATATATATTGTAATCCCTGTTTGATATATAGCTATATGATTCTGTTTCCATTTATTTCACTTTATTTCTGCTATATTATAACTTGAGGGTGTAGAGTGGAATGTAAGCATTTATGTTTGACCCACTTAATTTATTGTCTTTTGTTTGTAATACTTTATAGGTTTTGAAAAGGTGCAAGAAATAATAAAAGTTACTTATAGTTAACCATAACTACAGTGGAATGCCTTTATCTTATCTGGGACTCTATAAAAGGAGACTTGAACCTCTGTGTTGCAGTAAAACCATCAGGATTGACCCTTACTAAGGACAGCTGTTGTACCGTAACTCCTCCACTACAGACGCAGCAGGTTTTTTTTGTTCTGTCGCTCCAACAATGCTGCGTGCGCACGTTGACAGACATTACGGTAGACTCTTACGGAAACAACTGCTCCCCTCTCCACAAGGAGTTGCACAACCACTTCCTTCACTCACAGCTTCCCTGCGGTGTAGAAAAGTTTGGAGGAGAAAAAAAAAAAAAACAATCAAGAAAACATGTCTGCACTGAACAGAAAGATCGTTAACACCACTTCCGCCCCGGCTGCCATTGGCCCATACAGGTAAGAAAACTTTAATATGCACCATTTTCTATTTATAGCGACACGTGGGGTTTGCAGAAGCAGGTATATGAAATGTTTGAATGAATGGGAAACACAAGGACAGTCCAATATTTGATCAGGGGCGGGTCTTAGTGTGCAATGAACTCAACTACTTGTCTTGACCTCCATAAAAAAAAAAAAAGTGCCAAAGTTGAACTTTTAGTAGAGCAGAAGGAGCAGCTGTACAGGAGAGATCTCTAACTAGCAGACTAGAAATGGCAACTATTCGTAGACAAATCCCCTACACACCGAAAGCCCCTGTCAGACAGGGGATATACAGGTAAGGATTAATGTCCTGGGGAAATACTCTGGACTGAAGATCTACAACTTCAGATAATTCAGAAACTGTTTGTTTTTTTTCAAATTTACTTGATAAATATTTACACAAGTGATCATGGAAAAATGATTTAAAAAACAAAAAAAGCAGTATCCTGGTATGTTTTCTACTTGTTTAATTAATTCTGTGCAGTTAAACAAGTTGAGGGGTGTTTTTGCTCCGACCAATTGGCTGTCAGTGGGTGGAGTTTACTGTGTATGAATGGCCTTTGATTTATCTTATTTGGGTTAAAGGAAAAAGTCCTGGAACAAAACAGAAGAGGAGAAAGTTAGTGAGCTATTGCTGATAATGTCACTGATATATTTTAAGTGCAAATAGAATTTCCACAGTTTGTTGCAGAAACAGCTTCTTCTGGAGGTTCTTTTATAATGTTCAACGGTCAAATAGGAAGAAATCATTTTGCATCTTCGTCACATTAACATGTACAACTGAATGCTCATTTATAAGTGACGTATAAGTACATGTAGAACAAATGAAGACAGTAGGTAAATGCAAAATGACAAAATTACTTCATTTTATTTAATCTAGATAATTCTTTTCAAACAAGATCAGTCCGTTTTTTGGAACTTATTTATGTCAGTTTTTCTCTTTTGTTGATCATGAGGTGTGAAATGAAGTGTCCCAGTCTAAGTAGTGTATTTGTTTGTGTGTGTGTCCCCGTCCTCTGTCTCATCCTCAGCCAGTCGGTGGTTGTGGACAGAACGATGTACATCTCTGGTCAGCTGGGGTTGGATGTGGCTTCTGGTCAGCTGGTAGATGGAGGGGTGAAGGCCCAGGCCAAACAGGTGAGGCTCACAGGGACAGATGATGATGATGATGATGATGATGACACTTACTGTGTCACTTACATGCATTTGACTTCCACAGATTAATCAACCCCTCACTGAATGTTTTAATTATACGCAGCTGTAGACCAAGAGTGTAGAGCAGTGTTACTGATTATATCACTGTTTCTTTAATATTTTGTACAGAAGCTCAAACTGTTTCTCTCTAAATTACAAAACACAAGTTGCATGCTATGATGATGGATTTACTTACAGTTAAGATTCATTCTTACTTCTCAGTTCAGATTTCCAGCATATGTTTTCATTACTTTTTCTGCTTCACTACCAAAGAAAATAAAAATTGACGAAGATGATCAAAGATCAAAGATAAAAACTAAACCAGTCTCAGCAACTTATATATAATAAAAACATCAAATGAAACAGGGAATCAATAGGGATGTTTCTCACTCCTTTTCTGAGTGGCTATTAAATCTAAAAATCTGATAATGCATATAAACGTTAAAGGTGAGATGAAATATTGATCTACGGGGTATCACAATGTCCTCCCTTCCTCTCATCCCTCAGGCTCTCATCAATATGGGGGAGATCCTTAAAGCTGCTGGCTGTGACTACACAAATGGTGAGATATCAGTAGTATCAGGCTTTTCAGTGACTCGGCAGCTGCTTAAATGTTTTCTATGATTTTAATGTTAAACAAACTCTTTGATTTCAGTGGTGAAGACGACTGTGCTGCTCGCTGATATAAACGACTTCAACAGCGTCAACGAGGTCTACAAAACATGTAAGACTTCATTTCCGCACTCGGCTCCTTAAATTTCATGCTAGAAAGTAACAGATGTGCAATTTATTGGGTCTTCTAGTCGAATTGATAAAACGTAGTGTGTGTTTTTCTCTCTCATTTTCATTCTTCTGAATATATAAAAGCAGCCACACAGGGGCAGCCTTCAACCAAGATTGGCTTGTTCAGTCACCAACAGAAAAAGCCTTTTTTATTCACTTCATATCAGCATCATTGTTGAAGCCCTGACAAGTCCTGACACAGAATAATGATGTTTCACTTTATGTCATGTCAGTGTGGAGGATAAATAAGCAGCTAGTTATGATGAAGGAAACTGCCCTTTAAAGCTGCACTAGGTAACTTTTCTATTGGTTGATTGGTTGTTTTCGTTCACGCTTGGTGGATTCTTGCAAATGTCATTAGGAGCACTAGGAGGAGCCAGAGGAACATGATTTTTTCACATATTTTCTGTCTTGTGTACTGCTGTCAGGATAGTGTGAAAGGTTTAGCAAATCTGATGAAAGGTTACCTCCTGCAGCTGGAAGGAGTGGATTCAAGTATTTAGTCTGCTCAAGTGACCTTGATCAAGGCACTGAATGAGTGCAGACAATGTGTTTTGTAGGGAGGGAAAGCCAAAACACAAAGTTATCTTTCAGGGCCTCGCTTGACTTTCAGAGTATACGGAGGATGATGTGTGCCACAAGAAAAATTAAAGAAGACTTTAACTGTGTTTAATTATAATTAAAAAATCATACATTAATGCATTTATAAAATATATTTTAATTCAAACTAAAAAAAATTACAAAAATCTTTTGATGAACTATTGACTTAATCTGTCTTTAAATGAATATATATTATAATTTAAAAATTGAATTGTAAAATAATTGTTTGTGTATGCGTATCATATTCCACATCACAATACAATTGATTGCTCTTTTAACATTTACAGTTTCCATGTCATGATTGTGTTCAATTACAGGCAACTTGTTTTAATTTAAAGACGTGTAAGTAGCGTTCCACCTAAAAAAACAAAACAAAACCTGAAATTCAGCACACAATTTACTAATAGATCACAACTGAACACGGTGAACGTCTGTAATTATTCCAGTGGCTACGCATCTCCTCATGTGTTCTAAAGAGGAGATGTGGTGCCTCGTATTTCACGGACATCTCTCAGAAAATGACTGCTGACAGGTGTAGCAGTCACCTGACAGACAGGCTCACTCAGCCCTTCACTCTTCCGTATGAATGCAGCCTCCTCTAACGGGCCGCTCAGTCTGGGCATTTCCTCCTGGATCACAACAGACAGGTGTAATGGAAGCTGCAGTGCCCAGTGAGTTGTAAATGGACACCGCTGTGCAAGCACACAGATGTAACCCAACCCTCCCAGCAAGCTTTGCTGTGCAGGCCATTGACTCGGGTATAGGCCTACCCCCCCCTCCTGACGCTACTCAACCCTAAACCACAGGCAGGGAACTTTCCCTGACCCTGATAAGAGGAAGGATAGGACATGTGTCCACTCTGATCCAAAGTCATGTGAATTTTGACTTCCCTGGCCACTGGTTACACTCTCTCTTTAGAGTTTGGACCATGTCTTATAAAATGTGATTACTCGTGTTTGCATTTGTAGATTTGGTCTATATGATAAAACAGTGTTTTGGCTTGTTTAAATACACAATAATGTTTCTATGTTTCCCAGTGTCCCACCAGATGCTTTACTCTTTACCCTTAAAACCTCAAAACTGTGTAATGTCTTAAGTTGGTTACTCCTTTCAGTAATGCTTTACTTTAACTGACCCCCCATTGTCCATTTAGCATTCATAAGCAGTGTATATAAACATTAAATAAATGGCTTATAATATACTGCAGTGTTGTAAACAGCTGATTAATTTGTCAAACAAACTATAACTGGAGGCTGGTATATAAACGGCTTTATAGAAGTTGGAATAAATACATTTATTTAACAAATTCTGTACATTAATGAACAAAAAATATCCTTATAGCTATCACATTATAGGATGTTAAACCATTAATTCTATATAGTTTATATAGGGCTTATGAATGCTAAAAATGGGGGGTAAAGTGTTAGCCTACTCTCTAATAAGGTGTAATATTATGCTTGCTTTAGTCATGTTACTAAATCAGTTATTTGTGCTTTGCGGAGTAATAACCCATTATTAAGAACAACTTTTGGGTTGCCAGGTTGTAAAAAACGTGTGTATATCCTCCTCCAGCATAACTTTCTTTAATTCATCATAGTCATCATCATTTAACTTATGTAAAAGAGCTGTAGTAATCCAGGCTAAAATCTATCCATCAAATCCACTTCACATTCATAACAGCAGATTTGACCATTTAATAGAAAATTACCCTTTTTAAAATAAAGAAACAAACCTGTTATGCACCAGCCAAATACATTTTTAAAACCTCTGCTTCACAGCATATAGGCCTTAACAAATTATTTATTAACCCTCAATGAAGTCTGTAGTTACACATTATAAAAAGTATGCATGTTTATAACCGACCGAACTAGTTGAGGCAAATTTTTTCTTGCCGCTGTCACAAACTAGGGTGATACCCAGGAATCAAATGATCAATTTATAATAAGAATCGTAGATGAACCAGGTCACTTTCCAGTATGCTTTTGTGATGATGCAAATAAAATGTAAATTCTTTCCCTCCAGTTTTCAGCAGCAACTTTCCTGCCAGAGCTGCCTATCAAGTGGCTGCTCTCCCAAGAGTAAGTATAAAGAAAACCTTTACCCTGTGGAGCATACAGCTCATAGGCATCAATACACACGGGGTGGTAGAGATGTATGGTAGCTAGGTGCTTGCTACATCCATGCAATGCATTTTCCATCATCCATGTGCATTGAGTGAAAAATGGTACTAGTGAATGTTGTTGTTATGCTGAAAGGAAACAGACTGGCAGTGCTGTCTAGTTAGTACCTGGGCGGTGTGGGTTTAGGACGATCTGTTGGTCGATCCACTACGGTCAGACTGAAATATATCTACATATATCTGTTGGATTGATCACCATGACATTTTTTGTTGTGGTAGTGATGTATATTAATAATTTGCGTTGTGGGTCAGAGATTAACCTTTTCCCCATCAAATACTCTCTCTTGACTATTTAAAGGGTCTGTTCATCCAAATTACTGTACTACTAAAACTACTATTTTATCAACAGCCTCCAGTGGTATCCACATAATTTCCCCCTAGTTTTGTAGATGTAAAGAATTGTATTTGTGCTGCTCTTGGCATTTATAATCTTTACAATTTTGTTATCAGTGCCCAACGGAGCACTGAATAGATAATCCAACTACCAGAACAACCTCTCATAGCAGCATGGTTGTATAGACTCTCTTGTTGTATTTTACCCACATTGCTTCATTTTCCCCAATCTCCTCAATGTCTCTGTCTCCTTCTTTTTCCCTTCAGGGTGGACTGGTGGAAATTGAGGCAGTTGCTGTTATCGGTCCTCTCTCAGACTCCTGACTAGCCGGCCACGTCCCAAATAAGTTGTAGTCTAACCATCAAGTGACCCTCTAGTTGTACAGTGGAAGCCTTATTTTTTTCCAGATGAAACATGAAAGACCAAACTAGGCTCTTGTTGGCTTTCTTTTTCCATATAGTCAGATTTTAGCTTGAATTAGTTTCTCCTCTAGCCACTGTAGATGGTTGATGGCACTGAACTATTTTCAGTATTATACCACTTAAACCCTTAAGAACAGAGCAGCACTTAATTGAGCAGCATTTGGTTTCTGGCTAATGGAAATTTCACACCTGACACACTGTAGGTAAAACAAAATGATAAAGTGAGACTGTATCTGTGCAATCAGTCTAACATTCCCTGATCACATTGGCCAGATTCAGGTTCAAATCAACTTCCTCTTGGTGCTGTTTCTGGTTGATCTCTCATCTTCTGTTTTGTTCCAAGTAAATATTTTAACACATTTAAAAAGTGCAGCTCTCACTAATAAAAGAATGTCGTAAAAACCTCTTGTGTTTCTCTGTTTGTGTTCATTCTGCTTTAAGATACCAACGAAAGATGTATTAGATGTCATTTTTAAGGTGTTCTTTTTAATTTTTTGACAGTTCATAGCTTATTACAGATGTCTTCCCAGAGAGAAATAATGACACATCAGAAAAAAAGGTTGCATGTATTTCATTAGTTTAAAATCTGTTTAAAATCAGTCATCATTGTAGTATCAGCTCTTTATATTCATTACAAACATAAAATCAAAGCCTGACACCCATAAAATAATTTCATAAATCAAATCTATTTTGGCTTTGGTTTTAGGATTAAGATTATAATTTTGTAGAAAAGTACAGAATGGACTCTTAGGTTCAAGTTAAAGACATACAGTAGTTATATGATGTTTCTGCTATTATAAATTTCTATACAGATAATAAATAGAAATTTCAAGTTATTCCTCTGAAAATAAACACACCCACTAAGTGCTGTAGAACTCTGTCTATATACAATTTGCAAGCAGAAATTGCAGCCATACACCATCATTAGGGAAAGAAGGCACAGTGATGACTGAGGAACCCTGACTGAAAGTGGTTTATCACAGGGTCTGCATCTTGGCAACAAGGCAATGTCTTTCACACACACCTACACATACTTTCACTCATGCATAAACAAATAAGATAACACACTTCCAACAAACTCATCCCTGCACTGATTGATGTTGCACTTCACTCGCTGGGGGCTGAGAAAGAAAAAGAGGGGAAGCATGTTAGGATTGGCGTGGACATTTTGTACATGAATTATGTGTTTGCTTTGCAGCGTCTCTCACCTGGTGTCTCCTCTGGTTTGGGCTCTGAATCAGTTGCCGTGGCCTCAGCTTTTTCTGTTCAGAATGAAAGACAGAAAGATTTTTACATGTGAACAACAAACATAATCACATTTTAACAGTGGTGGAAAGTAACCAAGTACGTTTACTCAAGTACTGTAGTTAAGCACAAGTATGTCCATTTTCTGCAGCTTAATACTTCTACTGAACTACATTTCAGAGGGAAATTAGTATGTCCCTCTCTTTCTTCCCTCTCTCTCAAAGTGATGAATATATTAATAATTATAATCTAGTAATATAAAATATATTATTCTGAGATGGACTATTCTGCATGATGAGTACTTTTAGTTTTGGGGGGGAGTTGACACACAGCAAAGGGCCACAGGATGGACTCAAACACATGCTGCAGCAAGGACTCAGCCTTCATACATGGGGTGCCAGGTCCACCATGATACTTCCTACAGTAGTATCACTGCTTTAAGTAAACTATCTGATTACCTATTCCACCCCTGCATTTAAAGGTTCAGCTGCGTCACCCTGGAGGTGAATGTGATTTGTACAAAATCACAAACATTCAACCGCAGCGTCTATTTCCAGACATACATATGAGTTTTTAAAATATAATTTTTTCAAAGCTGTGAGCACCACAAATTCAATTTTATTTGCCTCCATTGTATTGGGATCGCAGCAGAAATCTGGACAAATAAAACCTGCCTGGCTAGATACAGCTAGAGGTCAGTGAGTAAATATGTTTATTTGTAATTTGGGTGAACTGACCCTTTAAGACCAGTGCTGCAGCTTTGAACTGAGTCTGCAATGAAAAACCAGGTCACCAACAACAAAAACCTTGATTATTTAGCCCAAAATACCTTTTAATCCAAAGATGTGGAATCACGTCAGTTACAAGAAGAAACATGCAATCACTCACACTTGTATTGTATTTTCTATCAAAGACTTGTGATTACAGATTACTACCACCAAACTGATCCCAACCCTGACCATTGACAGGTCCAGAAATGGATGAGCTGCCACCACGTCCGCTCTGCTAATGTGACACTTAATCCTCTCTATCCATTGGCTGTGAAACAGAGGCATCGTTCATGGCCAGTGGAAGCCCTATATGTGTTAGTATGCTCTAGTTTCTCTGTGGACTCGGATTGCACCTTAATGAGAGACCATGGTGACAACAAAGTGTTGGCAACACACACATGCGCGCGCACACACACACACACACACACACACACACACACACACACACACACACACACACACACACACACACACACACACACACACACACAAACTGCATGTTGGCCATCCAAGCAAGGCTGTGGTCAAGCTTGATCTGAGGGTGAGTCAAGTTGGACACCAAAGGGGGTCAAGATCAAGGGAAGACAGAGGTCAAGGAGTGTATTGACTATTTTTTGACTAAATTAAATGAAAATATGTATCTTTCAAATGACTTAGTGTAATTAATCAATGTTGTCAAATTGTCAAGTAAACAGATTGTTGTGTTTTTTTTCTTTCTATTCTCTTATAATGTATGTACTGCTTACTTTTAGAGTAAAAAATGATTCAGGTGCAAAAGATTGTGACCAGGTAGTCTCTGAAACAACAGCCCAGTATTCAAACTGTTGGATGAAACTTAACAAAGAGGGTTATTTGCAAACCTAATTTGCAAAACATCCCTTAAATAAATGGGTGAATTTTGAACCTGGCAGGATTAACATGGTGAACATTATGTATGTAGGCAAGGGATGGCACCTGCATAGGATGAACAGAATCATAGCTTACAATCTTAGACCACAATAGATACACAACATCCTTGGAGGCTATATGGAGTAACCAAAGGATGCAAAATACTATAATTGCATAAGTCTGCAGCGTATTGGATTTGCTACTTTGTCCGTCTTTCTTTCAGCATTAGAGTGGAAGACACTTTGCATTAAACATGAGGAAAATTAAGAGCTGACCTCATGAACCTGATGGCTGCTTGTCATTTGCATCGTGGAACAATAAGTGAACTGATCGTGAGCAGTAAATGTAAAGCCACACTGTGTCATTCAGCTCCATGTGGAGAACTTCTATGTATCATTTAGAGGCAATTGTGCAGAAAGATTATCACTGGGCAGACCTGTAGTTGCTCTGAAGTGCTCTCTTTATAGATTGTTATGTTGCACTCACTAATACCAGAGCACAGGTTCAGGTTCTCTTTCTTCTGGATCCTACTATTCACTTAAAGTGTATAAATCTACATATATTGCTCTTTTTTGTTGATCCATTCTGTGGCCTGTCCTCTTCCAGATCTCCACAGTGGAGAGGAAGTCATATGTCTCACTAAACAACATCTGAAGACACACATATTTGTATATAATGTGATTTTGTTGGTTTGTTCTGTACATTTGATATCTATTGCATGTATGTCCATCCTGGGAGAGGGATCCCTCTTCTGTGGCTCTAGTTTTCTTCCATTTTTTCCCTGTTAAAAGTTTTATCAGAATTTTTCATCTCCTGAATCAAGGATCTAAGGACAGAAGGTGTTAAATGTTGTACAGATTGTAACCCCCCTGAGGCGAATTGACATTTGTGATTTTGGGATATATATAAATAAAGTCTGACTTGACTTGAATTAAAAAAGCTTAAAAAGTGTTAACTGACAACTTGGTTGGGCCAACTGGTTAAAATTAGTTAAGTTAATCTTAATATATATCTAATATCTGGTCCATATATAGCCCTTAACAATAGTTATAATAACCTCAACAGACAATAGTTACAGATAAACGGATTGTTTATGCATGAGTCTACCACACCACATTTTATACATCCTACACATCTACACTGTCAGGAGGAAGAACTAAATAGATTTTAAAACAATTTCTTCAAGACTGCAGCTTAATAAAAAAAAAATCTTCTGTGAGTCGAAACAGGAATAAAATTGAAATAATAATTTATTAAATCATTGTTACCTGGTTAGATAAACTCCACCCGTACTTAAAGTGCTGAAACAGACTCTTAAATACTAACTAAAGTTATCAGATGTGTGACTTATAAACGCATTCCTGTGGCCACTCCTGGTGTGTTCATTTAAGGCCAAAGTCATGTCTGAGTGTTGTTGGATACTGCCTGGTTACTTCAATAGCAGTGGGACTGTGGAGAGTCTAGGGAAAGACAGAGGGGACCTGGGTGCTGTGGAAGCCCGTGTCCATTGGGTCACTGTGTAGGAGGTGGAGCAGTGCTCAGGTAACTGCTGGTCCCTAATATGTTCCCCTTCCTTTGATGGCACACTATTGACTACTGACTATTGTTTTCCACCTGCTGTATTGTAACAGATTTAAATAACCACTGTCACAAATTTAGATAATGATGTCTGTGTTTTAATCCTTGAACACAGAAGCAGTTAAAGGACCAGTGTGTAGGACTGAGTGGCATCTAGAGGTGAAGTTGAAGATTGCAACTAACTGAATGCTGCTGGCATCTGTATTTTACAACCTGGGAATGAGAACAGGGCGTGAAGTGTGTAGGAGAAACTACAGTGTATGGTGGTTCAACATGGCGGCAATAGATCCTCCTAAATGTTACACACTTATAATAACACAAACACACACACACACACACACACACACACACACACACACACACACACACACACACACACACACACACACACACACACAGTGAAGTGTTCAGTCAGTGTGATAGATGTCACAAGACTATCCCCAGAAGGTCATTTTGTTAGGAGATTGGGAAGAAGGTGTGATTTGCATGGAAAATAAAGCTCACAATGAAAATGAGCACGTTTAGAGCCTAGCAAGATTATCAGAAGAATTAAAGGAAAACCAAATCCGTCCAAGTATGTTTGTCTGTAGATCTACCAAAATATTGTGGAGTATGGGAATATTATATAGAAATGGGCACAAAAGTTTGTGAAGGAATTTTTATGAATGCACAAATATTTTAGTGTCTTCCACCTGTCTCAGTGCTGCTTTTGATCCCAACCTACCTTGCTCAGGAGCTTCAGCTGCAGGCTCTGCACTGCTGTCTGCTGCCGGAGCTTCTGCAGGTGCTGCTTCTGCTTCAGCAGGTGCTGCTTCTGCTTCAGCAGGTGCCGCTGCCTCTGCAGGCGGACTGGCTGCAGCAGGCTGAGGTTCCTCCCCTGCAGGTGGAGCGGCAGCGGTGCTGTCTGCAGCTGCCGCGGCTGCAGCAGGTTCCTCTGCAGGCTTAGCATCGCCGCCCTCAGCAGGTGTCTGATCTGGAATAGTTTCACTGTCCTCAGCTACTTTCCCATTCTCATTGGCTGCCCCTGACAGGAACACAAGTATTAAAGCCTCTGGACATTTGGCTTGAAATAGTAAAAATACATATATGAAATCAAGGTTGAGTGTCTCATTAAGCATCCATAAAAATCTGAGTGAAAATAAACATTCATAACTATAGATTCTTGTTCAAATATCTGCTCATTTTGCTGTTAAGACCATTTATCAAGACTGTGTAGGCAGATTTTGATTGTACTGCTGTGGACGGGGCAGCAGCAAGACATATTTTAGCCACTTAAAAAAACTATTTTAAAACTTACAAAATCAAATAAACTATTTAGCCTGTAGACTCAGGAGTGTAGGAGTGGGCTCAGACTGATGGAGGCAGATTGAGCAGGAGCAGAGAGGTTTTATTGCACCTGTTTAAGACAACTGATGTGGATTTCTTATTAGTTTGTGGAATTCATTGCATAACTTTCATAATAAAGGTCAGAGCATAATCGTGCCCAATTCAAACCCAATATCAGGAAAGTTTACACAAAGTTGAAACATATTTCTAATCATGTCTTTTTCTTGACAGTTTAATTGATGAGTTTCACTAAACACTGTAAGGTCAAGCACATCTGTTTTTAACACAGTGTCACATTATGTCTAAATAAAAGTGAATTAATTATGTACCATATTGTTACTGTTCATATAATTGAGATGGGAGAAAAAAATCCTTGAATGTAATTAAGATGAGAAACATTATCATGTTTATATAACACATAAGATAAGCATTACATTCTTATCTCGCAGTAACAATGTATTATGTGAGGCACGGGACCTTGTGTGGGACACTGTATGACACCAGGGTCAAGGGTCAGGGTAGTATTTGTTTTCACTGGGGTTTACTTGTGCTAAACACTCTAATGATATTGTTCTGTCTGCTTTGGGTAAAAACATTCCTCAGATATATCTATTGAGTTATTTTAATGTCTCTCATTTCGCAGGGTGCCCCCGTGGCTTACATGTCGACCCAGTCCTCCCTCTCCCACGTTTCCTGTCATCTGTCTCCAAACATGGTTTCTATTATTTCACTTTATGTTTGTGTTGCCTACGTGATGGCCACAGAGTTGACTTAACCCAAAGCCATAGAGTTAAAAAGTAACAAATATAACTATGGGTGCCATGCAACACTGAAAACAACTCTTTTCAGGCACTTTTTGAAATTCTTTATTTGCAGAATGCTCTGACACATAACTATCTGGCAAAATAATACAATTATGTTTCATAAGTTTGGTGGGGGATAGACAAAAAATTATCATCATGTTTCATTCTTTGAACTTTTACTGAGAATAGAGCCAAAATGCCGGCCAAATGACTCCAATCATCCAGGGATTAAACTCCAGTCTCCGACCACTGGACCATGCAAAGCTGCCACTTTCGCCCAAACAAAAAAGAGCGACAAGAATGTGTGCACAAACAGAATAATGCTCCATCAACTGTTTCTTCTTCAAATAAGTGGGAAAAGAATGAAACGGCTGCTATTTGACACAGATCATTGGGTAGGATGAATACTGACACATAATCGGAAGCAGAAAGGGTAAAGGATTACGTGGATTTTTCTTAATAAATATTAACAGCCTCATACCTCACAGCTCTATAAATGGTTGCCATGTATTAGGTTATACTTGTATATCACTTCCTTGTAGACCTTTTTTTCCTGAAAGATTTGCATCGCTGGTATTTGCATGGATCAGAGAAGTCTTGACCATTGACCTTCTATGTTTGTATAAACAAGATGTTTTTCCCCACATTTTTCATGATAATTGTCACCATATTTAACTTTTTAAAAAAAGACTACATTATTAAAATGTTTCTTGGTAAACACTGATCTTAAGCCTGTCAGTAGTACTACAATACTACATTAAATACTTTTTATGTTGTAATAATAATGAATTAGTGCATCCAATTTGTCAGATGAAGGATGTTGATGTAAGAGTGACACTTTGAGAGGTGAATCTGCATGTTAATAAATGTCATCTTTCTCTTTTCTTGGGAGTGACAAGTAGCAGCAGGCAAAGCCACATGCAAAAATAAGATTACATCCTGATAAATTTCCATTTGACCTCTAAGATGACTGGAACAATAACACCAAGTCAACAAGACCCAGGGGAAACTCTGGCTTGGCTTTTCATCTGACATGAGCTTAAACACACTTAAACAGGGGTTTTTTCAGCATACTCACTTATGTGAGTGTACATGTTTACCCATTCTTTCATTGCACTGATAGGCTTGTAATATCCCTTTAAGGAATGCAAAGAGCAAGGAACACTTGCTCAGAGGTGGCCCCGTTTTGTGAATCTTTTACCAGTTTTTCACCAACTTATTCATTGAGTTATGTCAAATAATGCTTAAGCTTTCACAACTACACAGATTTGGTGAAAATACACCTTCAACAGCCTCTGAAGGGAAATTAAATTTGTCCCGCACATATTTAGTAGTTCCGACTCTTCCTTGACACAGCTAAATGGATCTAGTGTTGGTGTTTCACCTTAAAACGTGTGCTCGTATACACCACAGGCGGGCCATGTCTGACCCACTACAACAAAGGAGTGTCCAAGGTGGCTTCTCCATTTCCTATTGAAACTGTAGACTGTCACCAAATCTGCTTTCATGCCACTGTCTCTCTCAGGGAGAACAGAGCCAGAAACCACTGTTAAATAATCACAATAAACTTTCCCATCCTGTCACTGTGGAGCTCTGGCTCACTAAAACTAAAGACATCAGATACTGTACCCAACAGATATCCACTGATGATCATTTGCATGTAGACTGGGTCCTCTTTATCAGTAGCAGTGTTCACTACAGTGTAATTAAATGGATGATGCAACTGTATTTGGAGATGTCTGTGAACTTCTATGACACCCATTCTGCCAACATGTTACAAGGCTGTGTTACTAAATAAAATAACTATTAAAAGTACTTTGATTAATACATTTGATTTTAATCGATTTATAGACATAATCTGTGTGTGGTATCATTATAGCAAATTAATATTTACAGATATGTCACAGCCATTAACATCTTTAAAGTGAAGCCATGAACAGTGCTCAGCCTTACTGCTTGAAAGTGTTGAGATAGATTATTTCACTCTGTAACATATTACTGTTAGTTTACTTGCAGATTATATTGACTTTAACATATATTTTCATATTATCTTGACAGCATTGTTTTCGGTTACTAATAAATGTAATATTCTGTGTTTGGCCACTTGCAATATGCTTACAATGAGTGCTACCTAACTCCATACAACACATAGCTGTATCTGTTTATTATTTGTACTTATCACATATCTCATATCTCATAAACACATTCATTACATCACATACATACATATAAGCTTCGTGAATCACCTGTTGTGCTGGCTCCGTTGCTCTCCTCGGGCTTAGCACTGGGTCGAGTCGTATCTACCGCTGAAGTTTGGGCACTGGTGGAGCATCCCATCCTGTCCTGTGCACATAGAGAACTGGATGGTTAACTTCAGAGTTAAGTGATGAGGAGTGGCTGTGGCTGCACTGATGACGTCGCGCATAGATATCGTCTCTGTATGGAGAGCACTCAAAACTATGGACAGCCCTGGAGGAGAAACAAACAAAAAAAAAAACACAGGCTGGCCGTCAAATTCCTTTAGTCCCGTGCGTAATTGCGCATGATGGTTCTTCTTCCAAAACCGCGTCCAGCTATTTGTGCGGTGGGGCTAAAAGTCTCTCAACAGTTGGGCACGCAGGGGAAATGTGGCCTTCTGTTGTGTACTGTAACTTAGGCTGTTTCCAAGAGGCTGGCGCAGAGGCAAAAATACATTATTCAGTCAGTGTGCGGCGGCCACCTCTTGCGGCGGGGAAAGTGAACCAGTCGCGTTTTCCTCGCCAAACCAATAACTAGCCCCCCTGTCAGTGTGCCTTTGAGCAAACACCGTAACCCTGAGTTAATTTACTGAAGAAGTGTGACAAAATGTGTAAAAATGACTCATCTGCTCAGTGGTAGAATTACTGAGATCCATAATGTACCCAACATGCATCAGAAAGGCACCTGTCTGAGTGTTTTGTTGGGTTATTTTGGATGCATTTGTGTAAAATGGATGTTAAATCTTAAAATAGATCCGTGTTATTACAGAAATGTAATGGATACTATTACTTATATAGGTCTACATATGTTTTTGTTGCATATTTAGTGCAGGTTATAGTATTTTATTAGCCTTAATCGTTGTATGTGTGTGTGTGTGTGTGTGTGTGTGTATGTGTGTGTGTGTGTGTGTGTGTGTGTGTGCATGTTTGTGCTTGTCTTTTTTGTTTTCGTTGCATTATACGGAATATATTTTATTTTATTCTTCTGTATATGTTACTTGTATACATTTCAATATGGGTTTCAATGTACTAAAATGTGTTAAATAAACACAATTGCTTTACCTTGCAAACTCTATCTATTTTGTATTAATTTAATACATGTGTTGTTATTTATATACACATATAAAATAACTCTCCTGTACTCTAACCATCAGCGGCGAGTAGGATGCGCAGAACTCTTTTTGCGCAGACCCACCGACACATAGCAGCGCAATGCACCACGGTACTTCCTTTCTCTCCGAGGCCATATTGGAGTTAACTCACAGTAAGACGAGCTCCCAGTTTTATAACAAAAAAAACCGACAGCATTTGTTCATTTCAACATTTTGTGACTCTCCAGACCTTAACGACAGTCTTCTCCTTCCCTCCTCTCGCCCGCAGGTTGGCCGGTCCGGACTAAACCGCAAAAATGGTGGCCGCAAAGAAAACGGTGAGTGGCGTTTGGCTCGGCCCGGTGTGCACGCGCTGCTCCAGGGCCAGGCTGGTGCTTCACGTGGGCCGTGTGTCTGTCGGGGCCTGCTAGCGAGCGCCATAGCTCCACGGCTACACCCAGTGTGTGTGTGCGGGGTTGTGCGTTATACTGTCGCAGCTGTACATGTATGACGTTAGAAGTACATGTTTCTGGCTGTCGTGATTTATTTATTGTCGTCCGTTTGTTTAACGTCGGCGGAAGTTTGCAGCTGCAGTGAGCAGGCTGTATGGCTAATGCTAGTTTGCTAAATCTAACAGCAACAAAATGTCAGCAACGTGACAACAGTTCATATAAATGTATGTTAATAACTTATTTAATGTCCTGGCTGTATTGCGTCCTCTTGGTTAAAATGATATTTATTATTCCTATTGTGTTACTTTGGGGGGTTTTGTGCGAGCTCAGTGATGTAAGTTAACGATATAGTTTAATGTTCTTGTCACTAACTTTAGTATATTTTAATGTGTTCAGAAAAAGTCCATGGAGTCCATCAACTCCCGTCTCCAGCTGGTGATGAAGAGTGGAAAATACGTCCTGGGCTACAAACAGTCCCAGAAGATGATCCGTCAGGGAAAAGCCAAGCTGGTTATCCTGGCCAACAACTGCCCTGCTCTCAGGTATATGAAGATAATCAAATTCATACCTGCTCTATTATTTATTTTTTATTATTTGGGGAGGTTATGTGATTGTCGATGCCTATGACTTGTGTGTTAAAACGACTTGTAGGCAGATGAGACTGTATGGTTGACACAGCTTGTAACAGGCACATGAGACATCAACAGTAACAAAAACTGGAACAAAAACACAATATGGCATCAACTACTGTTGCAAGTCATCCCGTGTGTGTGTGTATATACACACATAATTGGAGAAAATGGAGAAACATTTTCTCTTTTCCCAAAAATAACCTTCATGAGTGCACTGCTTCAACAATATGACATGCTCTGCAAAATTATGTTTAATGTGCGAACTGATGCTTGTATCTATGTCATGTCATAGATTTCAAATACTGGTAAATCTTATCAAATAATTTCAAGTTTTTGAAACTAGATTTATGCCTCGATGCAGATATTGTGAAGCACAACAGGTCTTAAAATTGTCTGGTTACAGAGAATTATTGTTAACTATAATCAGGTTTCTGGGAGACATCATCACTTAGGGATTTCTACGTTATCTTGACATGTTGGTATTTTGGGGGGATTTTTGTATTGGTTTCCTGTCAAATTTACTGTATTTGTATCTGCTGCTTTGGCTCACATTTTCCTTTTTGTCTCTGACCTGTCCAGGAAATCTGAGATTGAGTACTACGCTATGCTGGCCAAGACCGGTGTCCACCACTACAGTGGAAACAACATTGAGCTCGGCACAGCCTGCGGCAAATACTACAGGGTGTGCACACTGGCGATTATTGACCCTGGTGAGTACCTTTTGTATTGGACAGTCTACCGTACTGTGCAATTGATTCCCAAACTTCTACTGTCAAACATTGAGTTTGTTCTTTGGCTAATTAATGCTGGAGTGGTCCCATACTCAGATATTTGATGGACTAATGTGACGTTTCTGACAAAAGCTTCTGCCGGGTACAGTCTGGTAGCAAAGTTGATGGAAGGATTTTAGCCTCAGGGGACTGGTCCCAGTGGGCTTATATGACAGAGCTGAACTGCAGCCAAAGGGGCCCTTAAACCACGACAGAGCATTTCAACGATCCATGATAGAATATGCATTACCATCCAATGAACTTGTTCACCTAGAGCTGGTAACAAAGGACTAACACACTACCATTCAACAATTAAAATCAAGACAGAGGGAAATGATGTGTTAAAACGTGAGATTTATTCTTTAGTTGTATTTTCTGTGGTCCTGTTTTGTGCACTTTCTACCTTTTCTCTTTATCTGTGTTGTAATGCAACCTGAGATAATATTCATTTATCAGTATCACTACTGGAGAACAACTAAATGTAATGTCAAAAGCTCAGCAAATGAGACTGCAAAAATGTCTCCATTGACCTAAATTATTAAAATATTTGGGTTCACTGCTGAGGTTTGTTAAAACTTCCAGATGTATATATTTTCTATTTCCTGCCTCTTGGTTTCTTCTGCGAATTTAAGCGCCTGTTGGACCTCATCAAAGTGTCCAATTCAGGACAAGTGGTTCGCTAGATGAAAGCCGTTCAGAGCACTTTCTTGAACTGCCAGTGCTTTCTGGTCGGTTCATGAGTGCTCCGTTGGTAACATTTACCCTCCATAATGTCAACTTTAATGTATTTGTAGGAGGTATTTTATATAGTGGATATAATGGATGTGTATGTATATGTGGCTGTATTACTTTTTACTGACTTCTTGTTTTCTCCTTCAGGTGATTCTGACATCATCAGGAGCATGCCAGACCAGCAGCAGCCACCTCAGTAGAGCTGTTCCCCCACCCCGTTGTTATAAATAAAATCGGTATTAACAATTCATGCTGCTGTCCTTTTAATTTGTGATCAATATAACCTGCTTGTATGAACAGTATGTTATTCCTGCATGTGTCCACCAGAGAGCACCAGTGTGGTCTTGGGTGTTCTCAGATAAGGTTTCCTCATGAACATTTTCAAGGTCTGTTTTAGGGATTTCCTGGAGTCTGCAGAGCAATTTACAATACGAGTATCGGCACAGTAGATCTTTCTTGTGTAACAAAGCATGACAACATCTGTTTCTGTGTAAATGACAATCAACCCATCTTGCTGCTCATCACCATGTTGATGTTAATATTACGCAACAGCTGATCATTGAGAATGGTGTGGCTTTTTTTTTTTCTCACTTACATAAACCCTGTGATGACCGTCTGCTGTATTAGCTGCAGCCTTCTGACAGTAATCGAGTAAGGACACTCCTTCCAGAAGTATTAAAGGCTTTAGACTAGAGTGATGGCCGTCTTTATCACACATACTGTTGATGTCCTCCGAGACTCGAGTGAAAATACACAGACGTCCAGAACAAAGTGATGTGCTGGTTAATTTATTTATCAGCCATAGTCTAAAGAAAGGGGTTCATTTAAAAGGTCCTATTTGAAGCCATCATAAACCAATTGGTGATCCAAGCTGTGTCTCAACCCCTGCTGCTAGAAAATACTCATGTAGTCATTGTACACTTAGCTTGTGTCACAATGTGTGTCTAATGTCACAACCACTACAACACCTGCAAAACATCAGTGTTAGTTGGACACTTGTTGGCTGTGGTTTGAAAGGTGTGTTGGAGCTCTTTGAGTGTTAAATATATAATTTCAGCTTGTTACAGGTGTAACTGCTGATGATCAAACTGAACCTGACACAAGTATTGTTTGGCCAGTATGCACATTTTTAATGATACTTCAACTTTAAAGCCAAAATGGATGAGAAACAACCAGTTTGATGAAATCGTAGTAGTAGTATAATTAAGGTTTTGTTCCATTCAGGTCAAACAGAGTCAGGGTGCTGCTATTGTGCATGTTGGCTCACTGAAAAGGTTCTGCTACACTTATTGGAACAGAACCGTAATTCATATAATTGGTAACACCTTTGTTCACCCTACAGACTACTGAGAGTTTGAACACCAACAGTTTCACGACAACTGAGGAAAAATGTTCTTTAGTCAAACTCGAACATACATACATCATAAATAAATGAATTTACAAATCATATTTTAAAATGATATAAACTTTAGATATTGCCTCATACTCATATAATTTAGATATTTCCTTTGAAAGTCATTTCACAATACATCAAACGTTATCAAATATGAATGTTTGAAATAAATGCAATTATTAGGAGGAAGAGCGATGCCTGAAAGCCTGAATACCAACAGCAGGCAGATGCCAGCTGCGGTCACTGAAAGGTAAAATCTCATATTATACTGCAACTGTATCCCATAGACATCAAGATCAAATGTCATTGTTTCTGACCTTTTGAGTTTGAAACTCTGACCATACAGACGGGCTGGTGCATCTACCCAGAGACAGAGATATAAGCTGTCCATCATCCATCGAGTGGTTTGGCCCAGTTTTTCCACTCACTGCTTTACTAAGCCGTTTTCTTGATTCCCAATTAAATCGAATGAAAGCATCCCAGATGATCTGTTTCACGTACAGCAGATGTCCAGCACCAAATGAGGACAATATCTAAAAAAGGTTGCAGAATAAGACTTGAATTAACAACTGTAAACAATCTGAAACATAAATAGGGGGGGGAAATCCTTTAAGGGCACATACAGCATCCTCCAGCACATTTTTGGGCCACTGTTTGACTTATTTCTTTACTATTTGTGTCTCAGTGACTCATTTATCTCCAGTTATGTAGAACAAAGTCAACTGAGTACAAACCAGTCAGGCCGTGTTGGTCACTAGAGTGTAAGCATCGAACATTTCCATTGGAACATCAACTGGATGGTATGTGACATCAGTTATGGACATTTACTGGACGCTGTGTGGTTTGTATTCTCACACACATTGTTATTGATCATGAACTTCTCTCATTGCCACAAGCCAAAGTATACACTGAACAATTTTACATACTGGATACTATGACTATGTGTACATAAAATACCTCTAAAGTATCTCTAATCTTTATTGTGTGCATGATTATTTTTGCTGCTGCTTCAAGGTAAAATGGTAATTGTTAGAGACGAATTCGAATGCTATCCAGGTCACACAAAGTCTGCTGGCAGATTTAGCTCAACCACCTTTTGGCCCCTCCTGTGTCCTCTTTCACAAATATCTCCCCCCCTTTTTTTTTTTTTTTTTTTTGAAGCTAATGTCATTGTACGACCCTCTATCTGCATCCAACAAGCATTTCCGCAAGAAAAGAGACAGAATGTGACCCACTTGTTTATTTGTTTTTTTTCCCTGCCCCGTCCCAGTGGCAGAAAGTAGGTGAGCGTGTCTGTCTGGTCAGCCTACTGTCAGACCCAAGGTAATGCCAGACTCCATTTTGAGGCAGGCGGGTAAATCCTTGCTTATCTGCCAGCTTGTTCGTCCCCCACTCAGGGATGCTGAATGTCTGAGGACAGCGCGATGCACGCACATCAACTGGACACCCATTTTTCATATAGTCATATTGTCAAACTTTAATTTTAGAGCAATCTGGTCAGATCTGGTAATGAATTATTGGCTGGTTGTATGTGCAGAGAAAGAGCACAATTTGTATGGACCTTGTACTACTTATCATTTCTTTTGAATAAAAAAGAGAGCGTGATTAATGTAATGTCTGAATTAAACTCCAGCATTAGTGGTTCGACACTGATTTAAAGTGAAGTTCTTGGCGTTGAATCAAGCCAGTCAGCCCTCGGTGAGCCACTGTGCTCATTTTCAGCCTGTGATGCAGTCAATGTTTGTTGAGTAGTGTTTCCTAACAGGCCAACTGCCCTATCAGAAGACACAGACACCCTGTAATTTGAATAAGATGTTAGCTTCAGTCAGCTCTAACAACCACATACATCCATGTAAGAGAAAACAAACAGACCTTTTTCCACAGGACATTTTGACATTGGAAAAGCACAGGTGTAAATAATAAAATTAATGATGGCTGCATTCCATTTAGCTGTTTTGGCTGCAGGGTATTGTTCATGCTGGAGCCATCGTTAATGTTATTAGTAACATCTGTGTGACAATGAATGCCTCTTGTTTTAGATGTAGAATGTGTATTACTTGTTAGAAAACCAACGGAAACAAGAAGACGGAGACATTTTATTTATTGATTTATTTTTAAATTTGGGTCCTAATATTGTTGTTTTTTATATTTTTGTCTTGCTTTTAAAATTGTAATTCAGTTTTTAGAAAATCTTTCAGTTTACTTGCATGTTAACAGTAAATCTTTATTTCTGTGTGATGGCAAACACTTCGACCATCCCACATGTGATTGCAATACAATCTATTGTCAAACATTTAAAGAACAATCTGGTAATACATATCCAAAAGTCAGTAATGTGTGAAAAATACCAAATAAATTGTACGCCAAAAAAGAACTGCTTAATGCCTAAAGTTTATCCTGATAAGCCTTTTTTCTAATCTCCAAGGCTTCTTGCTAATTTAAGATGGCTAAATTAAATATTTGTTCTTTTCAAGATGCTGATAAAAAGCTCAATCACAAAAAAAGACTCAACAAATAAATGCAACAGCAGACAGAGATTAATTTAGCTTTTTATTATTCAGAATTAAAGACATGAGCTCATGCAGATCCAACAAGAGGATGTGTGTGAATGGAAAGCAATGGAGAACAGTCTTGAAGTGATTCTAATAAAATGAGCCAAAAATCAAGTCCAGATAGTATATAATCTATACTCCTTCAGTCACATCGCAAATGGAAATATTGATTTGTAAATGTGATGTTTTAGAAGCCTGTGCCATCCAGAAGAGGGTGGCTGCTCATATTAGAACCACTTAGCTACAGCATACCGTGGTAAACATGAACACAACACAAACACATCGGTTTTCAGTGAGCTTACGCTGACTTTAAAGTGCAATTTCATTTTCAGCTTTGTTGGATTTGCAGAAGCAGTGGTCGTAATTCACACAGGGACAACGATGAAAGGGCCAACATGACTACATTATCAACTACAATATTAGTATGAAATGGAATACTACGTGTATTTCCAGGTCTAACGAGTTGTTGGATGCACTGTTGCATAGTCCGGATGACAAAACGTTTCTTTTATTTAAAGTTTTTTCAGCTGATAGCAAACACTACTTAGGAATTATTGGAGAAAAGAAATGGGATTAGGTATATCTAATATGGTTTGTTCCATTATTATGTCTCAACTTGTTGCCTAAATAGTTACAGGCAAAATACAAGCATCTACCTTCATATTGTGTATATTGATTTTGTGCTACTATACTAAGCTAATTCACGGCTTTAGATTCCCATCCATCGTTCATTTTAAAAAGGTCACCAGCACAGGAAATATCTCAACATGATATCACTGCATGTGCAAAAAAGAAAGTTACTACATATAAAGGACCTAGGAGTTACATCATAGTACTCAGGCAAGCACACGCGCTCACACACTCACGCACGCACGCACACACAAACACAGTCTCTGCATGTACAGCAGCATGTCACGCCGTCTTTGTAGGAAAATGCCCTCAGTCCAGCTAAGTTAGCTCAACTAAAAAGATCAGATTATACACCATGATCCATGTAAAAAAACAAACAAAAACAATAAAAGACACAGACGATGCTGTTGCAGCTGCAACTCAACGGGAAAAAAGGACTTCACTGAAATATTTTCACACTCTGTTCACACATTTTACAGTATGTGTATTGCCTTTTTGGATGTGGATCTGTAGTGTGTAAAACGTGTATGTTTGTGATAAGTGCTTCACTGGACTGATACATTAATGCCAGTCTTTCTTAACGTTTTGAGTTCTCGGAAAAGACAGGAAATGGACCAGAAGGCAAACTGGAATATGGTGGTACAATGGGTGAACAAGGTTCTCACTGGCAGTCAATGGGTTACAAGTTTACACACAGTTTGTAACGTGGATACAAAAGGAAGACGCAGTTGTTATTGGTCAAGGGACCCTTTTTTTTCTCGATGCGATTTCCTGCAGGACAAACTACACCAGTATGCAGATGATGTTTCATCACAACAGAACAGCCTTTCACTACTCACTTCATTTTCTCTCAGTTTTCACTGTTATACAAAAAAGTCATACAAAAATACCTCGACATTACATTCAATGAAGGAAATTTGTCGATTTCTGAAAAAAGTGCTCTTGCATAACTGATCGTGTATGTCGCTTTCCTTCTCACTCTCTCTGTCGCTATCTCTCTTCAGGTAGTTGGTTTCTAGACAAAGACCACGAGGGAGATTCACAGTATTGGGGGGTTAACAGTTGGTGGCCTGACCGGTGCACGTTTCACTCAGAGAAAAGTGCAAATTGAGTTGGGACAGAGTGTTCGGGGGCGTGCAAGAGTTTAGATGCTGCCAGGGGGACAGCAACTGCCAAGAGGGGAGGGTTGGTGGTGGCGGATGAAGTTGCTCCGATATTGCCCTTGGAGCAGGACATAGGAGACAAGGGGGGAGGAAAGTACGTCACAACAACCAAGGGTGGTGTTTGGGGGTGGGGTAAGGGGGGAGAGTTAATGGCAATACTGGCGAAGGGTTGGCCTAATCTAATCTAAGGTTGGCAGGAATCCAAGCTGAAACCGGCCTCTAAGACATTGTTTGGTCTTGCTTTTCAACACGTTCCAGCCAGTATCGGGGTCCTACTGTTGGAGGGAGATGTAGTAGTAGGTATTGGGTATAGGAATATATTTGGGGTATAGGATCCAGCAAATGGGGTGTCTCTCATGCCTCCATATACTGGGGAGGGGGCTCCTTCGGTGGTATGGCAATAGCCTCCTCGTACGGTGGGAGCAGAACCTGAAATGTAACAGAAAACCAAAAGGTGGTTTAATTATGTGGTTCAGTGCTGACAGATTCCCTATTAACTCTAATATATATATATATATATATATATATATATCTCACGGTCTTCTTCAGTTAACAGAGTTGGCACAAATGTCATGATGTGACCAAAATCTAGTAAGTGGACCTTTGAGCTCAGATGGGGCCAGAGGCTTAAAACTGCATGTATATTCAGCTGTAGAAATCTGTGTACACACAAAACAAGAAACATGCGTACGCAGTCTTTTCCGTCAGATTGATAAAACCTCACATACGCCTGTTCTCATGCGTTTTTCCCCCATACATCTCAATCATCCTGAAATTGTGCGCATCTGCACGACCCTTCTGACCATTCCCACAACTGACTACAAATGGCTTGAATCACAGTATGAGCAGCAGCGTACGGTGGCTTAAGTTAGCTACGTTTTTGCCAATTTCAGAGTAACTGCTGACATTACTGAATCATTTTAGTGAGTTATTTTTCAATATTACTAGATTATTACTATTATTACTTGAGAAAACTAAGTTAAACTTACACACACACAGAATTAAGACACTGAAAATGTTAATGTAGTACAATATTTAAGAATAGGAAGTTATTTTAAACACAGCCTCAGTAACTGTTGTAGGTTCTCCATCTTTCATACTATTTATTCCATCGCTATAGAAGGCCTTACTGGCTGCGAGGATAACATGTACACACATTCTTCCGCTTTAGAGGCCAGATTGCTTTCTCTCCATCAGAGGTCTTTCTCTGTAAATGGTGTTATAAAACCAGCACTGCTGCTAATTCAGAGAGAGAGAGAGAAATAGAGAGAGAGAGAGAGAGAGAGAGAGAGAGAGAGAGAGATATTAACATGGACAGTGATTGAGGCACATGCACACACTGTATATAACTAATATAATGTTCATAATGTATATATCTTTGATTTATTGTATTGTATTTGAATGCTTTACTTTGGCAATATTGTTGTTTCATGCCAATAAAGCCCATTTTGAATTTGAATTGAGAGAGGGGGGGGATATGCTCCGAGGGGATGGAATTGTGAAACAGCCAGGGAGGCCCGGCGAACACATCACAGGGAGGATTTGAAATGAAGCGGACAAGCAGACAATTATGTAACATGTCCAGAATAAGAGAGGATGGACAGAGATATATAGAGGAAGGAGAAGGGGGAAGAGAGAGAGAGAGAGAGAGAGAGAGAGAGAGAGAGAGAGAGAGAGAGAGAGACCCTTGTGCATTTTAATGGCATTTATATAAAAGCATGGCAGATAAGCAGCTGGGTACTTGATGTTCGAGGCAGTAAAAAGCCATTTAACACTGCCGGCTTTCTAATAGTAAAAATAGACGGCGCGCTCTATTCATTCAGCTCTGCGTGTGGAGGGAGGGAATGCAGTGATAAAAACATGTCGTCATTATTCAGGCTTTTAACCTGTGTAGACCAAGTGCTACAGATATTTGTTCCCTGATTCCTTTCTAATTAAAATTCACACAGCTTTGCCGTGGCCTTCACATTGACCTAGTTGCCTCAGTTGTTTGCTTCATTTTGTTTTGTCTTTTGTGTTCGTGGTTTCCTAATGAATTTGAGTTACCATTTGATTTTTTAGAGCACATTTATCCAAATATACACTAATGTTCAGTGCCATAGGATAATGATATAGTCAATATCAGTTTGTATGATGTGTTCATTAAAAAGGCATTCATTAAAATGTTTTTTTTATTGTTTTTAACTAATAATATTTTAGTCAGCTACTGATTCTTCTCATTCTTCTACTAATAATTATGTGTTTCACTGTGCTGTATCATTTTAAGGTGAAACTATATATTACCAAAAAATGTTTTTCTCATTTCTCATTTTAATGACATTTTGTATTTGTAGAAATGTTTTTAAAAGATAGGGCTGGCAATATTATATATTTTTGTTATAATTAACAAACCACAAAAACAATTCATTAGTCCTACTAACAAGTATTCACCATTCAGCATCTTATACAGCTTATTCCTGTGTCCTATAGAGCTCCACTATTGTCAGAAAGCTACCGTAGTTTATTTTGAATAATTTGTGACCTGTTTTTGAAGATTTATGTGCACAGTAGGCATGAATTTGCTCCGAGCTGAGGGCCACAGACATATTAGGGAAGTCAGTTCTAAGAGACGAACTAATGCATCATCTTTTTAAGTTTTCATGGGATTTGTCAATGGTTGTAAAAAATAAAACTATCGAATAAAGTCAGCCATACCTTTTAATAATACATTAAATTACTTGTTTTTTGCAAGCTTTAGATGCAAATCAATGTTGAAATATTTCTAAACTAAGGATGCTGGTTTCATGCCAGTTGTATTGCGTGTTTACTCTCATAACTACAGTGGGCAAAAATGACTGGCACATATCCAATATTTCCTGAAAGGCCATCTGATGCACAATATGATATCAGACCCTGCTGGATTAGTTCCTGTTTTATAAGGTGAAAAACGTCAGCAGTGTGAACAAGGGCCACGACAACAAGGACAAAGTGACAGACAGATGAAGTGCTACGTATCGAGACAGCGGGTGTGAGATTAATGTCTTATGTATCAGTGTGGAGGCTTACAGACAGACAGACAAATGGAAACCATGACTGTGCTAAAGCCTCTCTGAAACCCCATGAGTCAACACCGTGGAGGACAAGTGGGATTGACGAGACCCGGCTCTGCACAGCCAGCCAATCACACCTCAGGATGACCTACAGCACCTACTGTGCTGCGACCAACAGCACCAATGTCACTTCACTGACTGTCTGACAATAAAGAGATAAACTGCACAGTGACAACACAGAGTACTCTGTGTACTCTATTCTACCAGTGTCTACAATATACTAGGGGTTTATTACATTACTTTACTTCACAGTTCTGATCATTTACAATAACCCCTAAAGTGATATGTGTAGGATTTTAATATCAGTCAACAATTGACATATCTTTAATAACCGAAAATATGTTTTAATTAAGTGTTAAAATACTACACATAGCATCTCTACCTATACGTTTATGCAGGGACTGTGACATGACGACTATTCTATTACTTCATAATTACTTACTTCATTCATGATTTTATAGAAGGACCTCACTAACCTGAACCTCTAGGAAATTGAGAAGTTACTTGATTTGAATTATGTGAAATGACCTGATGACCGCAATATATTAAGGTACAGGATAAAAAAAGGATAATTTCCTTTGCTTTTTTTGTTATACACATTCTTATTCCTTTCTTATATCCAAACAATAACATTTAAAAAATCATCTGTGAGGTGAACGTGGTACTTTTTCCTTCTTAGTAATGTGGCATCTATGATTGCAGAACACAATACAGTTTATAGGTTATTTCTTACTGGAGAAATGATTTCCCACACTGAAAAGAGAATAATTCCTGTCTTCCTGCATTACATCAATTAATTTAACTTCTGAGGTTGAGGTTAATGAGGTGTTTTCTTGAGAACTAAAAATATGAGTTTATTACTCAGGCTCTAAATTACGTACTCTTACGTTATGAGTAATGCCTATGATCCTTACCTTTAACATTCAGAGGTATCAACTCACTGAACTGCAATAACACAAAGAAGTAAATATCTATATTTCAGTATAGCTCAATATAAGTTCATGTGCTAAGCAATGATAAAAACAACTTTTCGGTGCCTTTATCAGGATTATCTTCACCTTACGTAATGAAAGTTTGTAAGCCAAAACCTTGAAAAAGAAAAAAAAAGTCCTTGAGGTGAGGTGTAGAGGATGGATGAGAGGACTCACCGTGGTGTCGTTGGTGGTGACATAAACCAGAACCTCCGTGGTGCCCCTGCCGCTCACATATCTGTAGCAGTTCCACACGCAGCCAATCAGGTAGGCCTGTCCACAGGAGGAGAAAACAAAGAACACACAATGACCTTCAGCAACATTGTCTCCACTTTTCATTATTACTGACGCTGCTCGCTATGACCTCATCCGTTCATCAAGGTTAGGGATGATGCATCGTATCAATACTTGATACAGATTGTGACACATCAGCTACCGTCGTAACAAAACAGGTCAGAACACACAGGAGCTCAATTCACTTGTACAAAAAAAAGATACTTTTATGTGCGTAGCATTTTCCTGAACAATGTCGTCTTTCTTGGTCGTGCACCAACATTTTAGCCAAGGTAACTCATCAGGCATCTCTGGCCCTGAGTAAGACTATGGTAGCACTAGGGTTTAGGTTTGTCTGACTTGGCAGAAGAACAGGAGGTTCATTGTGTATATGTGTGAGTAGCCTGCTGAGTCGGTACTTCTGCCAGCAGTAAGCGCAACTGACCAACCAGAAAACCAGGCTGCGTACTATCCAATCACTTTACCATCTGCTGAGTTGACCTCCTCGCTGTCATACTGACTTTGAACTGAGATATGCACCACAGTACTGAATGCAGTAGAACCCTTTCAACTTATCATTTTGATCATACAAAATAGTGCATTTTGTTTTTCTCTTTTTAAGGTATTACCTTCATGTTCTCTTGATTTTTGTCTATGACTTCAAAGTACCCACTATGTTTGTTGGGAAGATAATAATAAATAAATAAAAACGTGCTAGGCTCATAGTAAACATTACTAAGAAGTCTAAGTTTTACTATGTTGCCCATATTCTTCTATGTCACACTGTCTCTGTTTCTTTATTCATCCAATCATCCATCCATCTGCATCTCTCTTATCTGCCACATCTCTCTCTCTTCTCTCTCCAGCTCTCCTTCTTCCTGTCTGTCTCTATCTATCATTTATGTCAAGTGCAGTCAAGTGGAGGATGTTGGCTTCAGCAGGAACTTTAGCAGGTGTTGCCTCTGTGCTGAGAGCTGAATGCATCCTTGAGGTTTCAGATCTGGCCCTCCTTCAGGGAACTGACTCAACTATCGTCACTACAGTATTCAATATGTACTGTACGACCAGCCCATCAGTGAAAATTAGGTTCTCTTAATTTGGCTTAGCAAATTTTACGATTATATTTATGTTTTGAGCCAGCACACATCTATGTTTAACCTTAAATGCTGAAATTTAAAGCAATAAGCAGTTCAACTACCCCATCTGTGCAACACAGCTCTCTGCCTGAGACATGACATTTATAGCTTCCCTCTGTAAGTCCAGCAGTGTATCTTCCAGTGGCTGCTTCCTTTCATAAAAACCCAGCTCTGGCTTTGGAAATCTGCCAAGAACATTTCCAATCTGAGCTTAGAGGAGAAACAAGTTGATTTGATTGTACAGATGACTGCAACTTCATGTCCCATCTCGTCCCAGAGCCCCAGAGCATAGCTGCGCCTGGAGAATCATCCATGCATTAAGGGGAAATTAGCTTGACAGGAGTTGGTTTCCTGTTGTCTCTGACCCGCTGCTCTCTGACTGTGTGATAATCTCATGAAGAACATTGATAATGTTCACACTGGCAGATTCATTATACACGCCATATGGTTCATATACCATGAGATGTGCACAGTGTGAGACTTAATAGCTTTAATCATGTCGCAATATCTATAAAAAGGCTGTTCTACAGGGAGCAAATGTTCAATGAGTGTGTGTAATCTGTTGCAACGTGTTGCGCTTATATCATCATACTTCAGAAGCATTTTTCTATGCATCTGTACAGTTTTTAGTATCATTGAAATGGATGATGGGAGGATCTGCAGTGATACAGAGACTCTGTGGGGCTTACCTTGAAGGAGAGGATGCATCCAATGAAAAGGAGGACTGCAAAAACTAGGCACATGTTGTTGGTGGACATGATGTCCTCTTTGTAAGGGAATGTCCCTGGCTGGAAAGGAAGGAGAAGTTGAAAGAGTGAAACAAAAATCAATGGAGAGAAAAAAGTAGGAAAGTATCATTTTACAAAACAGCCGAGGAGTCTAAAATGGGCACCTAATCTAGATAATTTAGGCCTGTACTATGACTGAATGACCTGGTTTCACTGAATGCCTCTTCTTTAGTGGTCTTACTCAACAGATGACGCACCGACCCCTGAATCCGTCTTGTTATTAAGCAGTTATCACAAACTTAGTTTAAAAGCACAAAAAGAGCTATTCCTTGATTTCGACTGTTTTGCATTGTAGCTTTTTACTATAGGAACAAAAAGAAGCAGTTTAAAAAGAAGTTGGTGTTTGGGTTGGAGGGGAAATGGTTCTCACCAGCTGCTGAAGGTAGTCCTGCACCGTGTTGGGATAAACCACCACACTAATGGCTACCAGTGTGTTAAGGGCAAAGTCGAAGATTTGGTAGCAGAAGAACGGAATGATCCAAGCTGCGTGTTGCTATGTGGGAGAGATTGACAACAGATGAAGAAACTCAGAAAGAACAAAGGTTATTTCAAGTTCAGATGCCTGTTTGAATCTCATTTATATTTGTCTGTTCATTTACCTTGTAAGCACCATATGTTGCCATGCCACATATAAGAATCATGAGTAGGGATATTGCAGTGGCTATGCAGATATCTGCAGAAAGAAACAGAACAATGTGAGAACAGATCATCTAGATTACCGATGGAGAACAACAGCAAACAGGTAATTTCACTGGAACCCTCGAAATCCACTGACGTAATCCAGAAGTCTTCACGAGGGCATGGATTTTTACAAAACAAAGCAACCTCGCTATTTTTAGCCCCCCAGTCTGCCTTGGACAAAACATGATCGGCACGTGGGTAATTGTTATGCAAGAGATGCTAAATCTGACTAAATGCAACACTCTTCTCGCATTCACATTACAGCTGTGAAAACGGACTGAAGACAATTGTCGTCAGTGTCGCTTTAGCGCAGTAACTAACAGGGATCCGCTGACATCAAGTTAAGACCGGATATCTGCACATGTGCTGTTTGGTGAAAGGGATCCGAGATCACTATGCAGTGTTGGCAGTTAATGACCTTGGTATTCAGAAAGAGTACTGGCTGTGAAACAGTGGAGTCAATGCATCCCTAGTAGTCAGCATCGTTAGCATAAAAACATAACAATTTCCATGACTCTACAAAATGCAACTTTTGTACATTATCATGGCTGTCAGCGTGCCCTTACACTCAGTGATTAATACGGTACTGATACTGTGTTAAGACCCAGGGAATGATGATACCCTTGCATCTTAATCCCTTGCTACACACACACACACACACACACACACACACACACACACACTAGATACAGACACGCATGTTCACACATACTATATAAAATAAAAGCATACATAAATGCACTGCAGCTCCTCAACCCACGCACACACATACACGTCATCCACACATGATTTTCATGATTTCTCTGCATATAATCGCAATGACTGAATCTATTGACAGCTGCCTATTACAAAACCATAACACCGGCTTATCTCCATCCTTTCCCACGTTTCACAATCTTTGACTGATGCTGCGCAAGCAACAACGCTATGTGAGGGGGAGTCAGTCAAGATGGCCGTTCTAATCCGATGGAAAATTAGAGCAGTCGTTTTTAATCAGAGTAGCCAGTGACAGAGTCTGTGGTGCTCCAGAGGCGACTGTGATGATGATAGCTGCTGGAGGGGGAAAACACTGAAAATACACATGCACTCTGATTTGTTCTCTATGGAGCTGAGCCTACTCAGCTATGTCTGTGCTGAGAGCAGCATTCTGGGAAAAGAAGTGGCAGGCAGAAAGGAGAGGTGATTTTATAGCTGCAGAAGCCAGGAGGCTATACGGACATGCTGTTGGCACTCACAAAGCTGGGAGCTCCAAATAATAATGTGACTGAGCCATAAAACTTGATAATATCTGAGTATTGACTTGTAATATTTTGATATAGCTTCAATGTTATCTATTCACTATTTTTAATTTTTCTGTTATACCCTGTTCAAATAAATCTAAATGTTCTGTATGGCTGACAAGACTTTTTACATGTTGAATTATTTAATTATATTTAAAGAAATGGTGGATAATTAACAACACTGACGGGGAAGAAAAGGGAAATTGTAAAGGAACTGTTCTGTACATCCATCTTCTACACGAGATCTTACACTCACATCATTTTGATATGTCTTGAACTTGCAGCTCTCTGTAGAATAAGCAATGCCTCATTGACGACATCTAATCCAATATGCACCAAGTCAGACATGTAACAATGAGGGGATTAGTTGCACTCACTTGCATCGTCCATGACATCAATGTCGGTTCCCAGCTCAGAGCTGGTAAGGTGGTAGCGGTATTGAATTGGGTCATTGAGAGCCGACAACAAGATGAGTAGGACCACGGCATTGATGAGCTGTGGGGGAAATTAAGACCAATAGTAATATTAAATTTCACAGTGGTGTTATACCATATTTAAGTTCTTGGGTTAACCTTCAGAAGGAATTGATCAGAAGGATCAGGGATTTTTTTGTGGCGTGGGATAAAAGTAATTTAAAGGGGAAAGTAATTACAGGTGAGGTGAAGGATAATTAAGTATAATAATAAGTATTATTAGATACAATTATTTTATTTAGTTATGCTTAAAAGATATGACAGAGGCCATCTGCTGAGTGTGGATGGATCCACTGGACAAAACCCGTTAATGAAGCTTCATGAAATGTTGATCAGGCCCACAGTTTACTATTATATTTTTAAAATTACTTTACAAAATAAAAATCTATGAACTGCCAGTCAGAAATACCATCACATGTTCATCAAGCCACAAGGTGATATCTTCAAATGAATCATTTCGTCCAACTAACAGTCCAAAATACCAAAGGCATATAATAATTAGAATAATTAAAAATAAATAAATTAGAAAATGAACAAATCGTCACATTTGAGATGCTGTAAGTTAATGATTACTTGATTGTCAAAATGATAACACCTGATCAATTGCTTCAGCACAGCACCTGTCCAACCAGCATGATAAATAGATCCCTACAGTCCTATATGTCACAGTTTTCACCAAATGGAGGTCACATTAATTGGTTGCTTTTTCTGGCCTTTGGCTCGATTTGACGACATTAGTAGGGTCAAACAGAGAGGGAAGACTTACGCTTACTAAAAGGTCAGGGATTTACAAGGCTTACTGGACTATGTTTAAAACTTTAGGTTATCCCGTGGGTAAAAACAGAAGCAAACTCTATATTTAACCGGCACAAATGTAGGACACAAGGGGACGGTAATGTTATCGTTTCAGCACAACAACAAAAGTGTTAACGTGAGCAAACTGTAGCAGATATATTTGATTATAATGAAACCCCATACAAAAAAACCCCATCTTTGACTGAAAATGGTGGCGATTAATTTAGCAAACACCGTTTAAATGAGTTATAAACCGAGAACATCCTTAACATCAAAGATGAGAGCAGAAAAACAAACGGAAAAACAACAGTCGCTGGCTAACTTAGCAACTGCTGTAAAAACTTAATATTAATCACCAATTATTCCACATATTTAACCCTGACCTCGAATAAAAAACAACAAACACCACAACGTACCATATACCATATTCCCAGAATAATGGTGCCCGTCCGTACATGGCAGCACAGGCAGCAGCTCGTCGAGTACCACCGGTCCCACGGCGAAATCATTATTTATCCTGCTATGTAATTACCAGCTATTTCATGAATGCTGCCGAAAATTAATTATTCAACAATACTATGTCCCGTTATTATTATTATTTTTTTTAAACCAAAAAAAAAAAAAAAAAAGCTGGTGTTTAGTCTTGCGTCCCTGGTGCTAGCAGCGCCACATCCAACGTACGTTTGAACCGTTGTTCGTCTGTTTCCGCAAGTGGAGTCCTCGCGACCAGAGAGCCGTTAATCTGGCTCATCCCGGAGTCACGTGAACAGAGGAGGGGGGGGGGGGATTTTGACCGAGATCCGGAGGGATGGATTCAAAATGCTTTATAATCACACAAAATTATTTCAGAGCCAAGCTTTTACTTTTTTTTCTCCTTCCCATTAGTCACTGTTGTTGTTGTTGTTGTTTTGTGAGAAAGTTTGTTTTTACGTTGGCTTAATTTGATAAAGACATGGGTATATGAGCTCATGATTGAACTAAAAGATGGATTTGGACCATTGACAGAAGATTTGTATCATCACAGGTTCCCTGAGCACTCACATAATGCTTTTGGTAGATTTATGTGTGTGTGTGTGTGTGTGTGTGTGTGTGTGTGTGTGTGTGTGTGTGATTTGGTGTAAATTTGTGTTTTCATGTGTTCAGATGATGAGTAAATGAAAAAAATGCTGAAATACTGGAGACCTTTCACCTCTCAGGGTCTCTAAAAATCTATAAATCAAGAACTCTGAGAGGATATAATCACATTTTATACTCCTTACAGCTATGTCCAGTTTTTAAAGTAGAATTTTTAAAGATTCACAAGCTAGGAGACACTAATTTAGAGTTTCTGCCACAAGAACAACAAGTTTGCTTATCAAAGAGAATGTAATGAATTCTGACTCACTATGGACCTTAAACACAGCACCCACCATGTTAAGAAAAGTAATTTAACCTGTCACCAATGCATGGCTAGAGAACTTCCCTGAGGCGTATATTGTATTGTATATTGTGCTTATATAATTATAATAAATAATTATATATATAAATTAATTATATTATAGGGATACTGTGCACAGTGCAAAGAGGGGTCAATAGGGGCCCAGCAGCTTTTGCTCCAGGGCCCCCTGTACTCCAATGCAGCTGTTTTTTAACTAAATAAAATGACTTAATATTGATGTATTTTATTGCAGTATTAGAACAAAAAATGAGTCTTCATTTTATGACAGTTTGTCCGTCTGTGCAGACATCCTGGATCAAGCCTGACAGATGGGCCAGTGACCACAGCTCTAAGCTCTGGTGGGTGGACCGCATCATCGTCACATTAGGGGATTTTCCTCTCCTGCCATGACTTAATACTGGCCAGACTGCCACCTCTTTAAATACTGGAACAGAATTTGAAGAGGAAAATCTCAAACTGATGGTCCATTTTGTCAGCCTTAAAGATTTTTCCCTATTTCCCTATGAACAGTCCTAGAGAGTGAAATATTAAACAGAAGTATTCATGTGCGTGCAGAGAGAGCTCTGACATAATGACCGGAAATACAAAGCCATATAATCCTTTTTTTTCTCAGACCTGCTGGAGAACAATACAATCCCAAAGCCAGTGTTTGGGTAAATTCACTTGTTAGTTTGGTCATATAATGTCGCCACACGCCACACGACTTTGCAGCATAGCACTATGTGAAGCCTCTGCGTTCCAGACATGGGGACTTTTGATGGATCTTTGTGATTTTAATAGCAGGGCTTTGAGTAACTGCACCACCATCCGTTAGAGAGTGACCTTCACTATTATATCTGCCTTTCATACACACAAATAAGAAAAATAAGCACAACAAAATAAAAATTTGAAAAAACGTGATATCCCTCTGAAGTGAAGGTGAATGGACAACGAGCCAGAGATTGTGCGAGATTAAAAGTGGGTAAATCCTAAATGAACTGAGAGATAAGGGATAGAGAGACTAAGGATATGAAGGAGGTCAAGCTCCGTAGGCGTGCCATGCGACTGCCTCGCCACATTGACTGGGGCAGCAGTTTGGCCTCGGGAGGGTCACTGCAACCAGGGCCTATCACAGGCCTGGCTGCTGACACAGATTTGCACCATGGCATATAGTGAATCCGCATTGTATTAATCACAGATTTGAGATTAGTTTGACAGAAAACATGAAAACAAGATGCCAGAGAGAAAGCATCCTCTACTGGATTGCTTGTGTGGAAGAATATGTATAAAAGGTTAATTTGTCATGAGAACACAATTAAAAGTGGTAAGATTATCAGTACTTCCTCAGGATAACAGTGGATTTCATTATGTATAACTTGCCTGAGGGGCTTTGGTTATAATTTACTTACTTATTTAGGTCAAAATCAGTACAAAAAAGTTCCAGTGTGTAACATTTAGGAATATCATATTTATAGGTATGTTTTCATTAGTGTATAACCACCTGAAAATAGGAATATTTGTGTTTTTGTTACCTTATAATGCTGTTTTTATCAACAGAGGGAGTCAGTCCTCTTCCATGGCATCCACCAGGTTGAGCTGTCATGTTTCTACAGTAGCCCAGAATGGACAAACCAAACACTGGCTCTAGATACAGGGCCTTTTGTCTTTTTTTGTGAGTCTTGTGGTAACCGTAATTTCTCATACACACTTGGAAGACTGAGCTGTATTCAGATGGTTGCAATCTGCAACTTCACCGCTCGATGCCACTTAATCCTACACACTGGTCCTTTAAGTGCTGTCAAAGCATCTGTAAATACAAACGGTGTATAATGTTCAGAATAATGGGTAGAAAAGAGTTTAGAGAAGGTGCAGTCTTAGCTTTCCTGACCCTTGATGTGTCATCGTCCTAATTTAAGACAACACTGACAATAAGAGATCGTAAAAAACACAACTATGCAAACCATAGTTTCAGTACGTAATTCTACAAAAAAAAGCATTTGTATGACAATGTGATATCAAGCATGTCTCATTTATTTTTCATTTTTACCAAACAAACATAGAAATATCATTTTTATCTCCTTGTTAAACACAATCATTCACATAACCATTTCCTAGAGACAAGTATATAAATACATTGATTGAATCAATCTTAAATCATCAGTAAAAATTAAACAAATAAAGGGCGCCTGAAGCCACAGCGACATATCATCTTGTTCTATCAGGTCTACCAACACCAGCTGATCAACACCTTGAAGCACTAAGGCTCTTTGCCTACAACAACGGACTCCTGTTAATGTCCGCTAAATAGGATGCCCACAGAAAAGCTGCAACTTGTCTCATTAAAAAAAGCTATTACAGTATATACACCGAGTGGTACTCCAGGACCAAAACTAACAGTTAAAGCAAGAAATCGTTCATTTAATTTCATGTACACAAGTACTATTATCAAAGTCATGCAAGATGAAATTAATTTCTGACATCAAAACTTGCAATTGGATGGAAACTATAAAAAGGGATGCCAATGCACTTTCTATACAACTACAGGTTAAGGCAATGGAATTAAAATTCCTTTTATATATGTGTAATTGTGTGTGTGTGTGTGTGTGTGTGTGTGTGTGTGTGTGTGTGTGTGTGTGTGTGTCTCTTGTTTAAAACCAACTTTCATGAGGAATTAAAGCTGCTCCATATGTATATGTATGTCTTCATTCTCAATTTTTCAAAAAAATCCCCCATCATACATCCTGGAAGTCATGTAACAACCAAAACAGTTACAGATTTCACATTCTGCAAAAAGGTAGTAAAAAACAATTCACTGACATCAAAAGGAACTCAACATAGCCTTTTGCACAGTGCAATCACAGAACTGGAAAAAGCCCTTACAATCTGTACATATGGCATGGCTTTCTCTAGCACAAAAACCAGAAGAAAAATGTTTTTTTTTAAAAATCATATAGAGTGCAGGAGGGACAATCAACTCTCTAGAAAATCAACACACAGTCTAGTCAGATAAAGACAGATGCACTCAGAATGATACATCTAGAGGGACAACACTTAATGGTGCTACTGCTTTATCAGATAATCCCACTACTCCTTTACTTCACATTACAGTGCCTCCTGGTGGTTCAGATCAGTTACTGTTCTCTCTACACAACAGTTACCAACAGTCCCCAGTGTGAATCCTTGATTGGTTTACGTTACCTGCTCTGATCCATAAGTCATGAATCAGTGACATCTGGGCTGTCAGTGGGCTCCAAACTGCCATAGTTTCAACAAAATCTGACTCAATACACAGCTTCAGTGCAGAGCTATGCTTCTCCCCACAGCTGTGAAGCTCAGGCATTAGTGTATCTAACCATATTTTGGAAAAACAATAAATGTTTGGATCACACGGACAGACAGTGAAGAGGTGGATTACGCTGCACGACTCGTTGTGGAGAAGTTTCTATGGACAAGATACTGGTTTTTTTGGGCTGTGAAACTTCTCACCACTGTCACTGACATGGGATTCAACCTGACCACAGCTGCCACTCTTTCTGATGGAGCTTTTATACTTAAAAGGAAAAGTCAAATCTATCTTAACACAACACTCACATGCAATCTGTGCGTTTAAAGAATTATAGGTTGCTGATTTCTGCTGTACATACTGGCCGTGCAGTGACAGCTTCATAGAGTGACAACGCTGCAGAAAATGGGGTAGAAAATGCATTTTAGGTGCAGTCCTATATTCAGCCAAAACTAATAAGGCTTTATGTAACTTTCTCATCAACAAAAAGAAGAGTGTGGGTTTTGCAGTTGCTCTATGAGGGCATCACTTCATGGCCAGAATGGAGAGGGGAGATAATTACAACAACCCTTAACTCTTTCAACGTACACATGGGCACGGGAGAGTCGTACTGAGACAGACTTGAAAATCTGAACGTATCCTGATCTGAGACCAGCCCCCACATGCAGCTTGCTCCCACACATTTCAGTAATTGATATAGGAGCAGCAGCAGCAAGGTAAACAAAACAAAGTGCAATATTCTGGGGAGCAAAAATCACATGTCTCTTGTAACTGAAATTTTCATACAAACAAAAAAATAAAAATAAAATCTGTTTTGTATTTTTGGATTAACAATTATAAACACACGCTTGGAGGGGAAGAAACACTTTTGATGCCATAAAAAATAATTACATAAACACGTACCTCCACTGCAAGTCCACATCCTCAGGAACTCCACTCTGGTTGCAGTGTAGCAAATAGTGCAAATTAGTTTTAAGATTTCAGTCCATAGGACCACATTTCAACCACTATATTTAGCCAAGCAGGTAA